TCTAATGATATTTCTATCATGATATCGTACAAGATTATGCTTTACTAGTCTAGTAAATTTTCTGATGTCAGCATATATCAGAGTATTATTTCATATATGACTCAAATGGCCACTATGATAAAAAACGGACGTCTATCTATGGCGGGGTAATTCAACCACCAAAGGTCAACAACGAACTTATACCACAGTACAAATTCTGACATTCTGATTGGCCATAAAGTTAAGAAAAATGTCAGAATATTTTCTAGCATAGTCTTACATGTCTTAGACTTACATACATGACTTGGAAGTAATTTAAGCTGCCCATTGAGCCTGCTTTAAACATATCTTCCACTCGACTTCTAGAAACAAAGATTGAAGAAGTAGCTACTGGTCTTGACATAACGTTTTCGACCCTTCTTTACTTTTCGACCCTTCTATACTTCTGTATACCTTGTACGTGTATAGATAACAGCTAATAATTGCTTGATTAAAAGATCTAAAGGAATTATATTGAAGTTCCTTAAATGTATCTGGTTCTTCAAATCAATGCAAACTTTTCGTTCTCTCTTTTGAGTAAAGGTGAGACGAAGTACTACATCGGTTACCATATGTTGGACTCTTTATGATCTTCGAACTATGAACACCAGTTGTTAAAATATTCTTGGGATTGTGATAACTCCGAAATCCCAATTACATCTTTAAATATTAAACATCTGGTATAAGTGCTTCTGCAAAGCATTGTAACCCTTAAAGGCTAAGCTATGTCTGAATGATAAACTACGTAGAGATTCATCATTTACTCATTGCCATTAGGATCACATGTTCAATCATTGAAGAACCCATGTACACCCTCCTTATTAGTCGAGTATGCTTGGTTGTTTACAATTCAACAATAAAACTGTGCATATTACCGAACACGTTCTGAAAAAATCGGTAAATTAAAGATAGTCATGTATCCAAACATGTCTAGATGATACCTGCTGAATACAATCCTAGATCTTGGTACAAACCCAAGAAAGAGATTATAATGGTTAAGAGTGAATAAGTTCAACTGAACCACAACACTAACTCAAAACCTTAAAGAATCATTCGACTCTAGAAGAAGTTATCAGGACAAGATCATTTACGAACTGGTTCTGAAAACCCTCCTCTGATATATATATATATATAAGAAAGGGGACCATAATTTCTTTTACACCGGCATCTTGAACATGTTTTGTAAAATGACCATAAAATCGTGACAATTTAGAATAGACCAATGACACTTCGCAGAATGAAAGAACATTAAACAAAGGTTCAATTCTTTCAATTATGACTTAAATCCCATACTGGATGACTGAGTTATTAAGATTTTTGGGTTACGTTTTTTGGCATTCCCTGAACAAAGTCAAATTACTTGATTCTTGGAATGCAGCCTGTGCCTGTTCTGAATTATTTGGTATCATTGTTGTTTGAAGCCATGATTGCTGATACGCAGAAAAGTTGACCCATCTAAAACGGAACTTAACATTGCATCTATTGTCCTAATATACTATGTGTACATTAGATACAAGAATATTGATAGATTTTAAATCCAACAAATATTGCAACTTTCAATTACACAATTTGCATTTTATTCCACAGGAGTATACAATTATCGAACCTACCTCTTTGCTTGCTCCTTCTTACAATACGAATTGTGTATTTCTAGCATTCACTGTCAATGTCAACGAGTGTTGATGATTAACCAAGAGTTAATGATAACAAAACAACGTCAACGCCAACGGGTGGCAAATGTCATCACTCAACTTGCATGATCAACCTGATGAGTACCATCTACAATATACTAGACTGGAAGTATGGTAACTTAGAAATAATTTTTTGATTAATTTTCTGATGCCAGGAGGTTTGATCCGTGATGATTTTTCAACATATATTATGTAACTTGCCAGAAAGTCAGTTTTTTTACATATCTTAGCAATCTTTAATGAGATATGACTACATGACGCAATCCACATATATTGCCAAAAAGTGCTTTAGACTGAATTTTATAATTTACAAGTGACTTTGGCCATGATGATTCACATATCAGAATGTTTGAGATTAAGAATCAACTAGGGCCAAAGGTGAAGTGAAATATACATCAAAACAATGAATATGACCAAACAAAAACAGACACAAGACAGGAAGTCAAAGGAGTTATCGCGCCTTACAGTCTTGTAGAGTAGGTAACGCATCGTGGATGAGAAACAACATGCAACTGCCTATACAACGAATAAGGATCGGACTGTCTTGAATTGTCGTCTGAAAGACAAACTGACAGACAGAACTGGGGCTTTCTCTATATCGTTGCGATTCTTTGATATAGACAATAAGAACTATGTAAATAAAAACAAATACTAGATATAGTATCTTATAATGAGGACTGTGTACATTATATCTCGTCATAGACTAGACAAAATAGCTATGACTCATTCGCACTAAATTCGTAATGGAATTATAATTAAAAACAGAGGGGGAATAACACCAGAGTTCAAAGATGACATACGCTTATAATGTAAACTTGTATTGAGATGACATACATCTCTGATTGGTCAAAAGTCAACAAACAAATGACGAATTTTCTATATTCGCTTCGCATAATATTATGTTAATTTCTGGCGTGTTAACCAATATCATAGCTTGTTATTTCACAAGATGAAGAAAGATGTATGGAATATGCCTATATCAATTAAAACATCACATGGAATTGTAGTATTTGAAAATTAGCCAATGAAAATGAGAACAAACAAAGGTGGCAAGCAAGAGACGTAATTATGTCTGTCATATTTAAAACTCTAGGGCTTTCCCTCCTCTTATTAAAAACTTACTTTAAAGGCAGATCCCCTTTTTACTATCACGAGATCTCGCGATCTTTTCTTACATCATTTTAAAGCAAATGTGAACTTAAAACCCATAAACACCCCGCCCAAGTGATCACATTTTACTCTTACTTTGGCTCAGAACACATAACATTATTAAGGAAAACAAATCTGCGTTTAAAGTACATCCTTGCACACTAATATATATTTATTCGTGTGAAATTGTTTGTCAAAGTATTTACAGAAACTGACTGAATTAAACCTTCAAAATTATCTTAAACAAAAATAATTGTAAATATCTATCTGAACAATTCATTACTGAAAACATGGATAGGTGGATTTCAACAAAAATTACTATAAAATATTGACACACTTATTCATGCAATGCTATTATCAAATTCAAATGTACAATTTGAACCATAAATAAATTAGGAGTCAATTTTCTATCAGCATTTCCAAATCACGGTGGTTTGAAGGCCCATAGTTTCTAATATTATCTAGATACACATCCCCTAAAATTTGTACAAATATAAATATAATACTAATACTCATATAAATCCATGACTCATTTATTTATGGTCCAAACTGTACATGGATTTATCTACTAAACATTGACTATGTATAAGCAAAAATAATTTCTTACAAATGAGAACACAAGTTGTTTATAATCAAAGGAATTGCGACAGTATGTATGACTTTAATGTATTGTAGTGATACTTTAGATACAATACTCCTAGAAATGCTAATGCTTGTTATAAATTATAATTATAAATTATCATGAAATATGTTACTTATAATAACAAATTAAAAGATAAAATAAACTATTGATCATACAGTTATTAAAGCATCTAATTCTGAATACATAATCGTGAACACATTATATAACAACAGCTGATTTGGCATGTTTGGCCTGAATGAAGTCTCTACATTAACCTGCCCCCTTCTCCTCGACTTTTTCATAAATAGCACCAGGCGCGTAACCAGGCGTACACGAGGGTACCCAGTTGTGTTCCCTAAATGATGGATTAGTGCCCCATTACACAATCTAATATCGTTCAGAACGCACCATTTAAGGTCTAAAATCATTAATTTTCCGAGGGGCATGCCCCTGGACCCCTAGTTTTGCTCGGCCTTTGGCCTCGCGTACCTGCTATCAAAATCCTGGTTACGCCACTGAGCACTGTTCTCTTTTGTTTGACATTGGCAGTGTTGAATATGAATATGCAAATATGGGAGAGACTTGATCATTGTTAAATATTTACATTTTGAACACTTTTTGTCGCTAAAATACAGCACTATTGCATTTCTAATCATATAAATGTCTCAATGATAAATACATGAATTAAAAAATAATATCTGGTTCACCGACTTACTGAAATCATATCAGTATAATATTGTTCTGAATCACATTCATAGGGGCTCACAATGGACATAAATATGACATAAATTGACATATGACATAAATTGAACCTTAAATAAACCTTTGGGAGCCCCATGCTGTAATGCTGTCTTATTGAACACCTAGGTAGACAGTAATTTGTTCTGATGGAAATATCATTAAATGGGTCACACTGCAATAACTTATGCATTTGTAGTACAGCAAAACCTGTCAAGGTGAATATCTAAAAAACCGAACACCCCTTACTGTACTCTTTATAGAATTACATCCTATTGACTTTCATGTTATAATGGATTCTCTGGAAATGAACAGCAATTTTGAACACTTTTTTGCAGTACAAGACTTTTATGTGAATAGACTCACTAAAAAATGAGCACTTTTTTGCAGTACAAAATCTCAGACTAGAAGATCCTCATACCTCATGTAAATGGACTCACTGAAAAAATGATCACCTCAAATTCTGAACACTTTTTACAGTACAAAATCCCAATGAATTTCATGTGAATAGACTCTTCGGAAAAAGAACACCTCAAATCCTGAACACTTTTTTGCAGTCCAAAATCCCAGACTTTCATGATAATGAACTCTCTAGAAAATGAATGCATCCAACTTTGAACACTTTTTCTAGAAAATCCCATTGGCTTTCATGTTATGGCATCTCCTAATGCTTCAACCAGAACATTGAGCATTAACTTTAGACAGGTTTTACAGTACTAGCATCTTGAACAATTTTATAATAAGGGATGGCATCTAAATGTTGACAGTTGAGGAAAACTATGAACATTTTTTAATGCCCTCCCCCATATAACAATTTTTTGAACTTTCTTGAACATTAGATGAAAATCATCATTTTCACTTACAAAATCTTCTGCTAATATTTTGACACCATCCTTCAGAATGACTCTAGGTACAAATTCTTAATTTGAAAATAATCAGACATTATACAGTCCAACAATATTGACTGATGAAGATATAAAAATAATTTGAAGAACATCTTTCTGATCTTGTCATCAGGTGTGAACACTGAGTGAATGTGGAATTGCCATTGTGTATAACATGAAAAAATAAATTTTAATTTAGTTTTAGTACATGAAGGATTTCTACATTCTCTGGATCACCTCAAACATTTTGCACTAAATTCTAAATTTAATCGGATTTGTTAACCACTAAATATAATATAATTAAAAGGCAAAACACATTGTGTTGCAAATTGGAGTAAAAATGCACCTGTACCCCTGTTTATGAATATATTAAACAATCATATATAGAATTTAATGTAAAATATAAGTGATGATTTCTTAATGTCTGTCTTAATCCTGGATTCAATCAACACCATACAATCCTGGTATAGCCTTTTGATACATGTAGCTGCTGTATATACCATATAAATGGATAGATAATGTGATAATAAATACCAGCAATCCCTGTGGACACTCAGTACTATGTTTAATCTCAAATGGTTCCTGTTTGTTTAACTGAGTCGAGGCTGTGGTCACCCTGTATAAATGAAGGTAGGTTTTTGTGATATATGTTCCCAAAGGCTTTGGATCCCCAGTATTGGGATGTTTAAAGGTCATCATCTTCATCGACCATCATGTTGCCAGTTTGTTCCTGAAATGTCATGTACAGGGTGTCAGAAAAGGGTAACACAACAAGTTTCTCACTAAAAATCAATCTGAACAAGAATCTCATATAATACTAAAATCAAAAGTATGAACATACTGTGGTTATATGACTAATAGATTCCTTTATTTTTACAATAATCTAGTTGCGCTGACTTGGAGTTGTTACACACTCACTTTTACACAGTTGAGATCATGAAAAAATTTAATTCTTCAAAATAAGAAAGAACAATGGCGATATTTAGAATATGAAGATAATCAGAGCAAAATGGAAATCCAGTTTCAATCATCAAAAGATGAAGAATTTTGTTCCCAGTCAAGAAAAAAACCTGGGCATCCCATCTTCATGGAAAACATGAGTAAGCTTGTTTGCCACAAACTTTTTCAAAGAGATTAGTCAGAAGCATACTTGCTGTCATCAATTACAAAATCTTATTTCCTCTTTTGAGAGTGCAATCTTACCTAAAGGCTGTCTTGGTGCACTGTTTAATTCCTTACTTTTCCCACCAACAGTTGATGGATTTTCCTGATAAACAATAGTGTTAAACATGGAATGTGTAAAAATATATCTAGGAAACAACATGCATTTGTTAAATCTTTAAATGTGAGAGTGGTCAAGTTTATTCTGCATCGATTTATTTTTTCATGTGATTGATAAGCAAATACATGCCCAAGCATCCCTAATTAAACTTTAAGAACTATTTCACTTAGGTTAAGGACACTTCCTCACTTGATTTTGCAAGACTTGGAATTTTAGCTAATTAATGGTATTTCAGGATATGCTCAGGTTGCATTTTGGCCACAGAACATGTTGTAAGCAAAATTGCTTTTTTCTCTATTTTTGCATATAAAACATGACAACAAAGCACTTCATCTTATACTAAAGTTAAAGAAACATATATGTTATAAGTACAACTCAATTACTCATGCATATTAATTATGCTCTTTCAATTAATGTAAAAGTAGGTCATGTCGAGAGAGTAGCGTGATTTAGTATAATTAATGAACTCTCCAGGTCCAATACTCTTCCGACCAGACCTACAAACTACCTTAGTGAGAAATGAATATTAAAGTTAGAGCGTATTAAGAGGTCAATGGAATGCTTACTAACCTTGTCACTGGAAGGTGATATATTAAACTCAGGTGGGCAGATAGGTGAAGGTCCCTCTTTCACCTGGATAAGAAAATTTCTCAATTAATGCCTTATTAATTGATGCATTGTGCCATGTATGAATAATATGCATTTATTCTTTGAGCAAGTGCCTTTTGAGGGAAACAGTATTTTTTGCATATTCGAAATTGTGGACCTTCCAAAAACTTGGAGGCATCAAATTTGAAATGAACAAATGCACTGCCACACCTGCGTTGTCCATTATCAATACCTGCATATACCAACGGTGAGACAAAACAGTCAAAATACCTATGCCTTTTACATCTAGGTATACATGTATACAGATAAATTATATATCATACAGAATGTCTTCTTAAATATCATTCAACTAGCACAGAGCGTCCATTATTATTGCAAATTGTTTTTAAGATGAAAGTTATGAATTGAAACAACAAGGTAATAACATGCAAAATATCACCACCTGTCATTTGTTACAGACGCCAGATGCCAACCACAGAACACTAAATGCAGAACACTGTCCACAAAAAAGTTAGAGACCCTAACAATATGCTAACACTGTGGTGGTGACATAATAATAAAAAACAACTTACCCTTGCCAAGTGTCTGTTTTTTAAGAAGGAAACAACATCAAACTTTGTTCCTTGTTGCAATAGACCCTGAAAGAGTGTGGATAAACCAAATCAATAATAGAAGGCAACAACACCAAACTTTGATCCTTGTTGCAGTAGACCCTGAAAGAGTGTGCATAAACCAAATCAATTATAGAAGGCAACAACACCAAATTTTGTTGCTTGTTACAATAGACCCTGAAAGAGTGTGGATAAACCAAATCAGGTATAAAAATCCTACTTTCTAATGATTTAAAATCTCATTAGGGTGCAAATGTATTGATGTTTGCGCTTCTTTCCAAAATTTAGAATATAAAATCAATTTTCCAAAAATAAAATAACTAATATATAGTTGAAAGAAGTGAGATATAATACCTGTGAAACTGCACTTAAACTGTTTGGTGAGTTGATGATGTCTTTGAGTAAATGTTGAAAATTCTCTGTTGTTATGCCTGATGGCTTCTCTGGTGTACTGTCTCTTTGTTCTGTAATTGATACATGTACACATATACTTGTACATGATGTACTACTGTAAGTTGATTTAATTTGAAGACTGTTTTAATTTGGCGGATTGATGTTAACCACCAAATTAAGTCTCCGCCAATTTTTTGAATAAATCCCTGGGGATTCCAAGGCAAAGATTTTTCGTCCTTGTGTGTGACCTTGCAGGATAATTTTTTTGAAAAAACGCACAATAATGACAATATTGAACACAGCAGGATGATACTAACTGGAGTAAGTATCATCCAAAATGGTGGACAAAATTCTTTAAATATCAAAAACATTCAATTTCTGCAAAACAAAGTGAAATCAGTCATGCAAACTTAAAAAGTTCTGTTTGTAAACAACGACAAAGAAATGCTCAAACAGTTGGTTTCATCACTACAATGAATGTATTTTGAGTTAGAATCATTATCCGAGGGACAGGTATTCAAAGCATTAGTTTACCTCCTTGTAGGTAGGGGTGCCGCAGCAGCTCATCCACTGTTGGCCTCTCTTTGACATCACGATGTAGACATTTCTGAAATATTATACAATTGATAAAGTACAAATTAGTGTGGTTTAATTGAATTATTGCTAACATGTCTCAATTGAATTGAAGGACCAATGGTCAGATTAATTTCTGACACATTCTGAACTTTTCAGATGATAAGAGAGTCATTTAAGTGCACTGTATATGTTAATCCAAGTATAAGTAGTAAGTACCAATGAGTTATATACCACATTACAACCACGATGATTCAAGTTTTTATTAAATGTATAATAAATAAAAAATGGAAATTCATATTGCTTAAATGCATAGTAATATTAAATTGTGTTTCTAAACTGTGACTTTATATTGACTGTGTGCATGCTTATTCTATTGATCTTCCTGATTTGACTCTTTTTCTACTCTATTTTGCAACTCAAACTACATTTTTCTCAAGCGACCAGGTCAATAACATAAGAAATGGCCTTACCTTCATTACATCTACTAAGTGTCTATCTGGCAAATCTTGGAACTCTATCTTAAACTGGGGGTTGATAATGGCCTGTAGTTTGGCAATGCTGTTGCGTATGTGCTGGAAGGGGGTCTTACCATACGCCATGTGGTACAAGATCACTCCAAGTGACCAAACATCACTCTTTGTTCCGATCTGAAATGATTTTTCTCTATTTTTTAACTTGGTTTTTGAAAATTATCAGAATGAGTGACATGAATATTATACACACTAAACTAATAGTTTTATACATTAACGTATTAACACAACAAACATATTAGCGACAACAATCAATACAAATTAGGCAAAGAGTAGCTTCTCTATAGACATGAGTATATCACAGTTTGGCATTTAACATTCTATCATAGCTCCAAAAAAAGAGTGAATCATTTTTATAAACATCACTTAAAAAATATTTCGTTGCATTTATTTGTGTCACCTTATACATGATTCAATCTAAAACTGAATTAAGAGACAAAATATACCTTTATTCGTGGCTTCATTTGGCCATTAGAGTCCACTTGTGGTCCATTCTCACATGTATCCATTATAGCCTCTGGACTCATGTAATTTAGAGTCCCCACCTGGAAAAATACCAACATATGAATGAGTCCTGCCTCACTTTTCCTGTCCCTGTTGAACTCCCTGATCTACTATTTGAAGTATTTCCCACATGGTAATGTTGTATATTGATCCTTTAACTTACAAATTACACCAAAGGACATAGATAGGGTTCAAAATACACATATACATCCTACAGGCTGTCTCTTTCGTGGCATTGTAAATCCTAAAGAGTACATATTTCCAAAATTAAGATATCAATTCTATTTCTCTTTCTTATTCTAGTTCAAAAACTGTATTGACATAATTGCAAAATGTAAAATAGTGGGACAGCAAACCCTCTATTTCATATTTTGTAACATATATTTCTCCATACCTGAGTGTCTCTTATAACACTGGTTTTGTCCTGTTGTATAGCGTTGGCAATGCCAAAGTCAATCAGCTTTAAGTTGCCAGCAACTAACAGGAAATTGGCAGGTTTCAGATCAGAGTGCACAATCCCTGAAATAGGCACAGAATATTTAATTTGACATCGGGAAGTCACACACTGTCTTTGTATATGTGCAATGGGATGAAGATGGGGTAGAATAGCACAATTAATTTCATGAAAAACACAATCAATGAATCTGGGCAGCTCGAGTTCTTTTCTAAAATAATGGTTTAGAATCAGAAGACAAAGTAGCAGAGGACAACATCCATGTTAGTATGAACATAATCAGAGCATTAATTTGACACATATCTAAATGATGTTAATAAAAATTAAACTATAGGGTCCCAGATTACTATGAATAACAATCTGATTTATTCCCTACCTTCTTGATGAAGCACAGCCACAGCTTGCAGCATTTCTGACCAATAGAATCGTCTCATTTCAACGGATATTTCTCCTTTCTTTGTGCGAGACTTGAAGAGTGACGCTAGATCAGTGTCACCATGCTCCATGACGACCATCAGGCAATTCTTCTCCTTTTGATACTGGCTAGAAAATATAACCCAAATCAAATAAATATTTGCCTGAAAGGCATATTATTTTAGGAAAGTGGAAAAAGCTAACTTTCTTCAAGCTAAAAATTATGCGTTCATTTCTTTGAGTTTCATCTTCCATGAATTCATAATACAAAATGTTATCTCAGGATTCAAATTTTCATTGATAACCCTATACAAATTTTTAGAGCAATTTTGAAATTCCAGGTGGGGGGAATCACAAAGTTGTGTTGTTATTTTTTTGTTTCACAAAGTCTTGCTAAAAGATGTGTATAAATTACTTACTAATCGAACATTTTAATTATCTTATCACTGTTCTTCAATCCAAGTCTATGAAGTAGCGCTATTTCATTCTTATATCCATCAATCGTTTGCCGATCTGCTTCGTTTAAATCCACATATTTAATGGCCAGAAGTTTTTTGGAATCGGGATCGACAACTCTATATACTTTACTCGAGCCTCCCCTTCCAACTATCTGTAGTACAGTGTATGCTTTTTTATTCACCACCAGTTGATGCTGTGATAAGTCCCTACCCTGGGAGGTTGCAGCCTGGGGGATTGGGACTGGGGCTACAACCAGTTCTGCTTGGGGTAAGGGCACAGGAGAAGGCTGTGTGGGTAAAGGCACTGCCAAGGGAGAGACAATGGGAGCAGCCAATGGACTAGGGTTATGGCCAAACCCTTTATTAGACTCGCCTTCAGCACCAAGCACGTGTATGGCTTTTAATCGATTGTCTAAGCAATCCACATCCATTGGAACTGATCCCCGACGAAATGGATCAATTTCCATGGGAACACTTTCTCGGCGTGTATTTACTGCATTTAGAGAGGGATTCAACCCTAATGCCTGTCCAGATTTGGGGGCATGATTATCAGGTGTAACGCAACTATTGCTCTGACCTCGGTTTGTAGAGTGACTACTCTGTGGCTTTAATTCATAACTGTTCTGTGGATTTAAGTCATAATTATTCTGTGGTTTTGTGTCATAATTTCGCTGTGGTTGTACACCATAATTGTTGTGTGGATTCAAGTCATAGGTGCTTTGTGGATTTACATTACAGTTGTTCAATGGATTTGTATCATGTTTGGAAAAGTCAATACTTTGTGACGTCTGAGTTTGTATCCCACTGTCACTGTTGGGAGAGTCGGCAGGAATCTTGCTTGGCCCTCCATGAGACACTGAAAATATACAAGATATACAGTGATAAATAATACCCTTTTATTGAAAGATCCAAAATGGTTATTTTAAAAGTAATTCACTCAGCAAGCCTCAAAAAACAATCAGATTTTGGCACTTGTCTGCTCTTGCATCTGTACAAAGGGGACATGCCATTAAGAGGCCATTCTCTGACTTGGTCATTTTTTCAAAAGTGTGAAAATAAAAAAATTCATGAAAAGTTCTAAAAATATTCTGAATAACAAGTTGAATATATATATTTAATGATGGCACAAGCAAAGGTCTGAAAATTAACATGAAATGAAGGGTTTTGACAGATGCAAAAGATGGTAGATTTGTGATGAAGAAATAGAGGTTTTTGCAGTAACAACACAATTACCTCCAAGTTATCCGTTATGAGAGGCTGAGGACTAAACTTGACATAATTTTCAATCTCAGATTATCAGTAGTATCTAACTTAAGCCGGACAGCCACTCAAAATGTATATGGAGCCCATAAGATTCATTTTTCTCAATTGAAGTCACTATTTCTGTTTTTAGCTTCAGAGGATAGGAGGTACATGAACATGCTACGTTTACCTAGATCACAAGCCTTACCACAAATATAAAGTATATAGGAATAGAGTTGATATGTGTGAAAACCTTAAACTTCCCATTTTATTGGGGATGGAACTTGTGGACCATGTGTATTTCTAACTTCTTTACATGTGCATGGATCTAAAATTGTGGCAGCCATCTTGGATTTGTCATATTATGTGGACATGGTTTTGGTTGTGCTGAATTTGTTTCAAAATAACATTTCTTGTATACCTTCGATAAGTGAGATAGGCATTTGAAATTACATTTAATGCAGTAAACAGTAATACAATTCATTCTTACATAATAAGTGTGTCCAGACAAAAAAGTTGTTATTGTGTTAGTTTAACTGGGCATAAATTACACTCATTGGCCTTGGTTTTCTAAATTGGCTTGGATAAAATGTTGTTCTGTTTATTCAGAAAAGGAGTATAGTTCAATATACAAGTTCACATTCGTTCCATCTTCTTGTAGAAATGAATCTCATATTATTTTATCTCAAATATAGAACACAAAAATATAATAAAAAAACAAGTTTCTATTAATTGCAAAAGTTAGCTTCTATGTCATGACTGAGTTTGGGTTCCGCTTCTAGGGAAAAAATATCCATCTGGAAATATCGTATTGACCATTGCTATACACTCCATATTTAATCCTCCCAGTAAATAACATTGATATACAGTATACAAGTATATATGACATCGGGGATCTGGGGTTTGGGTAATGTGAGACATGAGGCCACTTGTCTTTTTGAATCTCATATTCAATATTCTTTCTTTAAACCCTCATATTTAATATTTTTGGAGTGGTAATTCAATTATGTACCTATTTTTCATTCTTTATCCCATAGTTGAACTCTGTTCCGCTCTGTTAGGTAACATGAAAACATATTTATGATATTTTGCAAATGCGAGGAAAAAGTGATATCTGTGGAATACGGAAAATATTTCACAGATATCACCTTTTGGCAGGGATTTCAAAACTACCACCAATATGATGTGTTTTGTTACATAGTGATTTCATGACATCATGGGAATGAATGAATGAATGAATGGATGATGTTTTGATATGCTTTGTTTAGTTTTAGAGGTGAACTATGGGAAAAATAGAACATCCTATGAATTTTCGTGATATTGTGTTAATCCAACTCATTGATATCAATATCTGCGCTAATTCGCTATGCTAAATTGGCAAGATATTGATATCAACTCGGAGATAAAGATAACATCATTTAAAATCATATGATATTCTATACATATCCTTTACTGTGCCACAACTTTCTTATATGTTATATATTTTGGCACAGGCCATCATTTACTTTCCTTGAATTCATGCTTTTGTTCCTCGTTTTAGAAATGAGAGGAAATCTTTGATTTTCCTTGTATTTAAGTTGCTTAAATGTTGCCCTGTGATGTTGATAAAAGTCAATAGTAATCCATTACAGTCACAGTTGAAATGTACCCATTGCTAGCCCAGAACCTACCAAAATAGCATTTGCATTTTGTCAATATTGTGCTTTTCCATGAAAATAATTTTAATTGTATCTTTTCTTCAGTATTTTATATATTACATTTTAATATATTTAAATTGGATAATATTTATATACTATTTACTTAGACAACAATAAATAAAGAATTTTTTGTAAAAACACCAAAAATGGTATATGATCTTTAAATGACTGTTGTGTGAACATCAAAGGTCAAAATTCGCTGAAATTGTATTTTTATAAAGCACAAATGATTTTTCTTCAATATGATATGCATTATTATCAGATATCTTTGGGGGCTAAAAAGGGCCCTTAATGACACCCGTCCTTTGAAGTTGAATAAATAAGTGATTTTCCTGGAATTTAATGTTTATTGCTGGGCAGGCTCAAATCTAGCAAGGGACATTATTTTAGAGTTGGATGTCTCAATAATCTGGCACTGGGTCTTAGATTAACTAAACAGATCAGTTAAAAAAATTTGAACAGTTTTTTTTACTTGACACAGAAAATAGCTCAATTCTTAAGAATATATCTTTCTAAGGGCAAGAACGCAAATGCGAGTAGGTAGTTACCAGTTTCACCACCGGGTGGCTCGTTCGGGTCAGATAGCATGGCGGGTATAGTAGAAAGTTCCCTTTAACTTAAATAACATCTGTTTTAATGGTTCAACTTTCACATAACCCTTATAATAGTTATGCAAATCAAAATATGTCCAGTAAATGAAAATGTTATCTGACCAGTACAAGAAAAGATATTTCACTTTTTGTGATTTTGTAACATGGGCTCTATGGAGAATCAACCCGAACTAGAAGTCACACTTTCAAAAATAATTAAATTTTCAAACTTGATAAACAATTTTCGAAACCATATTTCTAGATGTACTTTGACATTTAGATTTCAAATATAACATCGCTTTGACTGAATGTTGAATATTTAATGGCGTAAATCAAGATTTTTTCGACTCGCATCTAGTCTATTTGACTAAGGTTCAAATATAATTGATAGATATTATTGTTGTATGTCCATTTAACTGCTAATGCCTAAAGGGATAATATAAAACAGACATTGTCACTTTACTAAGCTGCATAAAAACAAAGGGTAATAGAACATAGGATAACTGTAAATTGTACCTATACAAATACATTACTAAAACTTGATGAGAGGATATCTGTTAACATAATATGAGGCAAAAGGAAGAAATCAAGAATATATTTGTAACATAACAGAATAAAAAGATGTTCACTTACATGTGTTCAACTGTTGTATACATTTGAAGAGTTAATAAGGGTTTTATCACTTTAGATGAAATATTATACAGTATAGTAGGGAGTCTCTTGCACAGAGCTAGAAAACTTTCAAATCTTCAAGAATCCCATTAACAGGACTGTTCACACATACATGTTCAACTGTATATGGATCTGATGATTCAATGGGGATTTAATCTAAATTTCAGATTGTTTATTTTGATTTAAAATGAACTCATGTGTTTATTGAGTCTCTTGCTCAGTAACTTTTTAAAATGAAATCAATATTTATCAAGAAAACTCTATGCAAAGTTTGCACATTGTGGATGGCAATTCTCACCTTGTGGACAGCATGGAATACACAAGGAAAAACTACAAGTATTGATCAAAATAAAGTGACACACACAAAATCTGAAGGAAATACTTTGAACTTGGTAGAAAAACAAAATATAATCGATAGGATGCATGTTGATGAACAAGAAAACCAAAATATATATATAAATGCCGAAAACATAAGTTATGAAGTTTTTGAATTGGAAAAAACAATGTATACAGTTGGATTTGATCAGCTGAACTCTTGCGATAAAACCAAACCAGAAACCTTTTTGAACTGTAAACCAGATCCACCATTATTTAAACAAACTGGGAAATGTCTAGTGGCAAAAGACTGTGTCACTGTAGTATGTAAGACACGCTTCAGACTTGATATGGTGCAAGGTATGATTGAATCACTATGGAAATGCTACCCAGGTGTACAAGTCATAATCACAGATGACAACAACGATAACATACCTAAAACGTGGCAGGATTTTCTCGAAAACCACACTGAGCTAGTTGCATATTTCCAACTGGGAGACCAAGCAGGTATTAGCTGGGGCAGGAAATTCGCAGCGAATTTAGTCTCAACGAAATATTTCTTTCAAATTGATGATGATTTAGTGTTTGAAAAAAGTTCAAATTTGATGAAACTTGTGAACATTTTAGAAAATTCTGACGTTGACATAGTGGCTGGACAATATGGGAACAGTAACATGATTGGTTGCATGACAGTTGCCTGGGAGACTAATAACAGCAAATCATTACTTCATTACTACAAAGCTGTCTATGGAATTCTGGTTAACTACCCCCATTGTTACATGCTGGACATAGTCCAAAATGTGTACCTTGCTCGTACTGCCGAACTTATGAAAGCAGATCCATGGGATTCAAAATTTAAAATGTACGAGCATACAGACTTTTTCTTAGCAGTCAAACAAAACAGACTTAAAACTGCCATTTGTTTAGATGTTGAGTTAACAGAAATTAGTGCTTCAATTAATAGCTTAAGAACATCTAGGACAAGTCAGAAAGCCCTTTATATGCCACTTACACTGAGGAAATGGGGGTTAGAAGCCTGGTATAGACACTGTAACCCACTACAATACCCTATTGAAAACACAACCAATATTAAATATCAATCAAAAGTGATGGTCAATGGAACAAGAGATTTTAAGGGACATACTCAGAGATTTTACTAACCAATACCTAATTTCATCATTTTGAAGGAAAACATTTGTGTTGGTGGAAATTACTGTAACACGTTTATGTTTTGATGTGGTGAGGATGTTGGAGAGAGAAATAAATTATTTGACAAAGAATTTTGCTTCCATGCTTCGCCAAGACATTTTTCTTTGTTTCGCAAGAAAGTAAATGTCATATGCTACCCTACTGTAAAAATCAGACTTATTGTCTCCCACCCCAAAAATGTAATTGAACATAATATACACTGTACTTATATCGCTCTTGGCTTGCATAAATAATGAACACAAACCTAGTCAACTATTTCAATAAAATTTCAAATAGAACTTTTCTTGATTTAAGCTGAGCATTCATTTTGATATTTTCTGAATCTAGGTATTTTGACTTGGGCTTAAACCTGAATCTCCTTAATCAAAATAATTGCAAAATAAACATCTTTTATCTAAAAAGTTGACAGACTATGAGTACATACACAATGGTGAATCATCCTGCTTTGATGGTGGGAGAGGTTTGATATCTGTCAGATGCTCATCCTTGTCTTCATGGCCTTCTCTAAGTTGAGGCAGAGAACTCTTAAGGACTCGCATTGGTTTCCCTAGATTAAGCCTAAAATAACAGTAAAAGTATATTAAGTGGTGATTTTACTAAGAAATTATTTTTCAATGAGTACATTGATATATCTAAAAATAGATTAATGGGGTTTTGTTTATACATTTTTCTATATATATTGCCGAGAGGATTAGTTGTAATAGGAAATATCACAATTTTTGGATTTTTCCAATGGACTGATTTTTTCTATGAGCCAGCCAGTACTGTTTGATGGATACTCTAGATGTTTTCCAAGTTAAATCCACAATCAGAACCACTTTTTGACAGGTTTTCAAGTGAAAGATTTCTGGTTCCATAACCATCCAACTCTGCCTACCTACATTAATAATGAATAATACTTACTTTCTTTTCTCTGAGCCAAATGTTCCCCCTATGGATGCAGATTTGCAGTCAGGGGTACTGAATGAGTGGCGTAACCCTCCAAGTTTACTGGTGGATGCTGGTTCTTTGGGTGCCTTGAACAGACCACGGACATCAAATGGTGTAGGGGCGGGGTCAGTCAGTGCCTCATCTGAACTGTTACTTAGGTTCCTTTCCCTTAAAACGTGATTGACATTGGCAATAAGACAACTGTGTGTTCTTGAATCCGGCTTAAAGAGGAGCCTCAGTCAAAATTGTGAAGAACAAGTTTATCAATCATTTTCATTGTTTTTTCCATTAAAGTAGCTCTGAAGTTTAATTAGACCCCATACATATTCTATGGTTGATAATGGTCATGTTAATTTTAAACACTAATTGAACATTACTGAAGTTGGTTACCTTTTAAGATTTGACAAAACAGCATCTTTTTGTTTAAGTGCACCTTCTGTGAGTTTCTGTTTCCGTACGCTACCAATAGGTGTCTTTAAGTCTATATCAAAGTCAAATTTTGTGCTTGGGGTGCTGGCAACTAATTTAGGAGGCTTTAACACTGGACCGGTTAACTTCTGCTCAAGCTCAACTCCAATGTCAGCTGTGTTCATGTTTTTGGTTGTGCCATTGTATTGTGTTGTGCCTGGTTGTGTATTGTCACTTAATTGTGTTTGTGAAATGTCATTAGTGTGTTTATCATCATGGGATGTACTGCTAGGATGTGTGACGTCACTAATACTGGTGTTTATCCATGTTTTTCTTGGCTCTAACAGACTGGTGTTCCAATTACTACTGGGCCCTGGAAATTATGTAACCAAAATTGGATCAATAAAGATAAAATATTTTAACTTTTCTTCCTTCTCAAAAATATTTGTCTAAATTAGTTAAATGGTATATGAAAATACAATACTATATGCAAATGTTGTCATATATGATAATGTTAAATGAATTGTGGATGATTTTAAGATCAAATGCTTTGTATCAAGACTGAATGAGGATTGGAGCCCAAATTCTGAGGCGATGTTCTATCAATTTCATTGAATATAAAAATAACCATTCTAGGTTAAAAAAATATAGAATGCAATCAATGAATATTAAACTTCTTCTTGATTGGCTAGGATGTGAATTATCATGCCTAACTGCGTGAATGGCACACTTTAAGCACATTGTCATGTTTTACCTGTGTATTCTCCAGTGTTACCAGTAGTGAGACTCTCATCCAGGGCCTTTGCTTGCTGAAGTTTATTCCTCAGTGCTTGTAGTGACATCTTTAATGTTTACAGTACACTAAACTAGTAAACCTGCAATACAAGGGAGAATATCAACCTAATATGGCAGATTTAAATTTTCACCTTTTACTATCTTTTCTTGTGTTGGACAGATAATATTTTCTTTTATTGGACATATTTTCATTTGTATAGACCATGGGCTCTCTGATGGAGCCCATGTACCCATACAGACACATAAGGATTGTATAAAAATTGATCTACTTAAACTGATAATATTCAAGTTTAAGGGAACTTTCTTATTTACCTGCCATGTACATCATTTCTATTCTTTATTCCTCTATAGTTCATTTGCACTCAATACGTGATATCATTCATAAATAATATTAAAATCTTGGCTCATTTCATATTGTTTTGTCTTCTCTATCAGGAAAGTTCCAATTCCCATATAGGAGGATTTTTAGTTCAGGATATTTTAGTTTATTACATAATCTACTTGACTTTCTATTGGTTCAAATGCTGGTTCCTTATGGGAACCAACATTTGCCTCCATTTAGAGGAGGCTTAGGAAGTCCAGTAGATTTAATTTCATATTATCTTTAATTTGTTCATTATTGGTTCATCTATTTGGTAATTATGGGAAATTATTATTCGCCTCCTTTTTGGAATCTTCCCTGTGGAACTTTCCATACTTTCGAACTATTCTTCAGTATCAATTCAGAAAATCATCCTCAGAACAGTTTTTATCAACAATCACGACACAACGTAGGGAAATATGTGAAATATTGTACTTGGATTGAATTTTTACTTGGAGTATAGAAAATAAACTTTTAGGCCATTTACTTACTTTTCATGTTACTTTATTAGAACCTGGAATAAACCGTTTCATAACTACCAACCTACTCGCATCTGGGTAATTAACTCACAATCAGCACCATCTATAATATACCACACAGGTAGTCTGGTTACTTAGAAGGAATATTTTTTCTCATGCAAGGAGCTTTGCTCAGTGATTGTGATGTGTTTTTTAATGTCAACTTCAATGATAACTTCAACTTACTTTAAGGCTATGACCTTTATTCTAAAATTTAGGTCTTGTTTTGCATTTCAGGCTTCCTAGACTTCCACCAACACGAGTGTACATCCACCAGTACATAGTGCATCTGGATATTTGGGAATTTTTAAGTTATGCGTAATAATGCAAATAATATTATTATACTTTTTTGATCAGGTGTGTGGTTCGCAAGCACAAGTGGAGAAATATGTTTGGGAGTGAGGAAATGATGGTGCGCGACTAAAGATTTCATGTTCGCAATGTGAGAATTGTGGTTCAAGTGCAAGGAACGTAGTTCATGAGGTCAGAACTGATGTCGCGTTGGTGGAAGTCTAGGAGGCCTGAATCCCCAAATACTTTAAGACCCCTTAGACTCGCATGTGTGGTTGTCCTATTACAGCATGAGTCATCATAATTATCACACGGTTGTGTTATGGTACTTTGTACATTCCATTGTTTAAAATTGATAAGCTATGATCGTATTTCTATCAGTTTTAGTGAAAAAATATCAACAGTACAGAACTGGACTCGATTTTCTTATACATCTTACATGTTCCTGGGGCCTATGAGCAAAACTGCTAAAGCCAAAAGGTGAAGTAAATGCAACCAAATCAATGAATCTGACTAAATGAAAATGGTTACCGAACTTTTAGTCTAAAAACAGTAGAGTGGTGAAGTGTAACTTGAGTACTCGTCCTCCTTTCATTTGAATCGAGAGAAAAAATTCATAAAATCAGATCATCAAATAAATTAAATGTCTTATTGTGCAATAGAGGGCCTTGACAAAAATCTTAAACTAAGATTTGAATAAAGAGAATGCTTCAAATAATGTGTAAACAATAACCGTGTAAAACCATTAAATTCTTAACAAGACCAAAATAAAAACAACAAATTAAAACTTACACTTTTCAGATTTTCAAACATGGCTCCTAATTTGTAACGGGTAATTTGATTGGTTCAAATTGATCATGTGGTTTACGCTTTTTCAACAGAAATACGAACGCGTAATAATTATACGTAGGTTCGAGCTTTTAACGGCACCACCAATCCTTGTCATTACATGAAACATGGACAACTATCCATGGTCCAAGGGTGAAAACAGTATTGTTGATAGATATAGCTCACTGTTCATAACGGATTTAATCTTCATTCAGTTCAATATGTTAACTCTATTTATTATATTCGATCAATATGACTCAGAGGCTATCGGCTTGAGACTCGAGTTAAGCTATTTCATTCGCCTGCCGGTGTAAAAGGGTAGGAGGTCCTATCAAATTATGGTCCTACTTTCCATTGATTTATATGGTGACCTAAATACAACTCTTTCCCTTATTATCTTATACACAATCAGGGCCAGTAAGGGCCGATTATAAAGGGGACCATAATCCCCAGGGGACCATAATTTCTTTGTAAAAGGGTAGGAGGTCCTATCAAATTATGGTCCTACTCTCCATTGATTTATATGGTGACCTAAATACAACTCTTTCCCTCATAATCTTATACGCAATCAGGGCCAATAAGGGCCGTTAAGAAAGGGGACCATAAACCCTGGGGGACCATAATTTCTTTCACACCGGCACCCAGTCTGGAAATCAGAAAAGTGTCGGAATTGCAAAATATTGACCTTTTATTGTGCTATTTCACCCTGTTCTAATTTGGCAACCACATTTGTCCTGAATTTTGTAAATTGATCATCAGACACGATATAATATAATAACGGCTTAATCGACGTGTTGATTGTGTTCATGAGACAAGGTTTGTGAAGGTGGTGTTGGTCTGAGACTAACATGGTAGTCTCAGTTGGTGTATTAAAAAATCCGCAATGTGTAAAAACATCGATATTTTTATAAGTTTATAGAAATCCGTCACTTCGGCGTTTTCTATAACATAACTTGAACGTTATATAGACAGGTTCCAATTTCAGAATATCTCAAGGGAAAGACTTTTTGAGGCATTTTTTAGAAAAAGCAACAGACCTATTTTTTCTGGATCAGTTTTTTATGCTGATAAAGATATTAAAAGATGACAGCTCAACGGGGTGGTCACGACACTGCATTTTAGCGTTTTTACCCCCCTAGGAAATTATCTTAGGGGGTACTATAATATTAGTTCATAACTCAAAGGATATATAAACTATTGTTCTGAGTTCTACAGCATACATTGTTAGTACAGAGATGAATACTATCCTAAAGTTATAGGTTGATATCTTTGTTGGTTTCGGAAAAATACAATTAATTAGAAAAAATATGCAATTTTTGTCATTTTTTCTTGCTTATTTTATATTTGTAGCTTCAAGCAAAATATGATAACTTTAACAGCTCAAAGTAGTATTCTAACAACATTCCCAAGCTATGTTTGATATTGTAATACATCTTTTATAGTGATGAAGTACAATTTTGTAATTTTAATATGACTTTATAATGCCCTACCCCTGGTAAATAGAAGAAAGTTGGTGTGGTTTTCTTCTGGTTTTAACATTTTATTGACTTCTTAGTTGAAGATACAATCAATTCTGTCAGTTAACCATGAGTTTCTTTTCAATGGTTAACTATTTCCATGAATAGAGGGTTGGGACCTCAAAAATACCAGAACTGTTAAGTGGCATCCTTGGGCATCCCTCTTCAGAGCATTTTCCTTATACTCCGATGAAATCTGCAGGGGATACTATAAGAAACCTATATCTAAGATACTAATGAAGATACTGAATTCAAATTTTCAGGATTTGGTCCTGGTATGATACGTAATCTGTATGACAAAAATTACAAAAAGAAAAAACGTTGTTGCCATAGTAACAAGAATACCACACTATTTGTTTCCTAAGAAATGTGTTTTAAGAGGTTTTGTCATTCTCTTCATATTTTTAATTCTAAATATGTCTATAATGTGGGATGATTAGAATTATGGTAAAGTAATCTTTTCTATTGTTTTATTGTTCTCTAAAACAGAAGTTGCTAAGGCACATAGATATATAGATCATAGAAAAAATGCTGGGATGATCGCTCTATTTGTCAGGAAATTAAAATGGAAACTGAAAAATGAGTTTCTTCCCACTGAATAGCAATTAATTTGGTAGACCATGGCTGACACGCACAAGAGAAAACGTTTTTTTATCTGTTCTATGTCATTGTGTTGTTATTTTTTATTTATCGTGGTCTGGGACTTATAACACCTAATGCCGAGTCTTCTCCAACTGCAAAGGAAGGCAAGATTTTAATAATGAACATTCATATATCTCAACAAATATGGCCTAAGACAATGATAAGGAAACTCTGAGGGAAAATTAGACGAAACATTAATGTGAGTGGTCCAAAAATAACACTAACATGTTTTGGAAAAAGTTATGCTCTCGGGTGAATCAGTGCTCATTTAAGGATAGTCTGAATCAGGTGAATTTTTTAACTTAATTGTACCCCTCCCCCAAAACCCCCAAATTTTGACGAAATTGTCGAAAAGTGGCAAACAACATTCATTAAAGTTCAATATGGCTATTTCGCTTCTATGTCATAAAGATATGATACGATCTCAGGTCAATCAATAAATTTCACAAGTGACACTCTATCTTATGAAGAAAATACTACCGTATATTTGAAGACATGTCAAAAATTTGGTGGAAATAAATTGTGTCACTCCTGATTTGACCTGCAAATGTTCAGGTAAGTTATCACAAACAATTTCAGACAGTTATATTTTTGATAACGGCTATTTCCTGACCATGAAGACAGGTATACAGGGATAATAAAGTCAATCGGACTCGGAGATATTTCACTAGCAATCAACCCATCAATATATTTTTTCAAAGTTGTTGACCTCATTTTCACCAAAAATGCAATCATTTTAACAATGTTTCATGCATTACTATTCTTTATTTTAATATATCAAATAGCTCTTGAAATGAAAACTGAATTCCCCTAAGATTAGTGTTCCCCATGTTATTTCCCCTTTGAAAAAATTCATGCTATCCATTGGTTTCAGTTCATTTTGGTCATCCAAATTCAGTGTCTTTAAAGTCCCTGGAGCAATCCACTTTTCCTCTTAGGAAAAAGAACATGTCTCAAAGCGTATTCTAATTATGCATTCAACAATATAATTTAAGGTTGCATCTTTGGTAAAAACTAGGTCATCATTTTTAGTAAAAAGTATGTTGATTGGGCCATTCCCTTTAATATCACTTAGGTCTGATTAATCATTATATTTACTTTTTTTGAAGATAATGAATAGATCTAAAAGATATACCTATGTTCATGGTCAGAAAATATTCATAATTCTGAAGTTGTTTACGATAACCTACATGCTCATTTATAACATTATTATGTAAATACTATCAAATGCTTTAGTCATGACAGTTGAAGTAAACTGAAGTCTTGGTATTTAAATGCAGAATCAGATCTATGTAGAGTAAACAAAATTGAAAGCAACATGTACAGTTGACAGTACAGTGTGATGCAACATCGGTGGGAAAGTCATGTTTGGTTAATAAAAAAGATTCTTAGCTACTTTTCTAACATCTGGCTGTGATGCATCATGGCTTAATGAGGACTCTGCTATATGGTCAGATGATGAGAACTAACAGTTTTACGGAACTTTTGCCATGTTTTGCACATTGTAAATGACCCTTCTGAATGGGTTGTAAAGGTATATACCAGGAGGTATATATGGCTCAAATGACTCGTACCCTAGTACATGGGGCACTGTAGTACATTACTTGTGCATGACTAGACCATAGTCTGGTTGCTCAAATGAGATCAATTGATGATTATAATGTTTAGACTTTATGTCAATGTCCTCTCTAGTATGTGATTACACTAGATTTCATTATGATACATGTACTAAATTGAAAACTTACATATAAAATATCTTAAGTCCTATATTCTAGTAATAAATGAATTAGAATGTCGCCTAACATTTGATGATGGTATAGATTTATTGATTTGGTGTCTATCAATACATTTTTCTAACTTAATGCTGCAAAATGATTAAATTCACCACATCCACTTTCTTCAATTTTCCAGGGGTAGGGGACTATAAAGTCATATTAAAATTACAAAATAGTACTTCATAACTAAAATAGATGTATTACAATACCCCATATAGCTTGGAAATGATTTTAGAATACTACTATGAGCTGTTAAAGCTGTCATATTTTGCTTGAAGCTACAAATATAAAATTGGCAAGACAAAAATTGCGTATCTTTTTCCTGTTTATTGTATTTTTTCTGAGACCAATAAGGGTATCAACCTATTACTTTAGGATAGTATTCATATTTGTACTAGAAATGTATGGTATACAACTCAGAACAATAGCTCATATATCCTTTGAGTTATGAACTAGTTTCATAGTACCCCCTAGAATATTTTCCTAGGGGGGTAAACATGCCAAAATTCAGTGTCGTGACCACCCCGTTGAGCTGTCATCTTTTAATATCTTTATCAGCATGAAAAACTGATCGAGTAAAAATAGGTCTGTTGCTTTTTCTAAAAAATGCCTCAAAAACTTGAATTATTAGAATTGGAACCTGTCTAATACGCTCATACTACACACTGCTGCTTTTGAATTCCATTATCATCATAAGCTATCATAAGTAAGTCAGGAATGTACAATTCTTTCATTTAACAAAAATGCATCTCGAGACCTCCACAATAAAATCTTCTTTTAGATACTGTATGAAAGCTCATGAAACAAAGACTTGAGATGAGACTAGCTTTTTTAAGGCATCACTGACATTCTTAATGAAATTTTTTTGCACACATCATTTCATGTATTTATCTAAGTAAGTAATTTCAAGGTTGGGGTTATTTTGCAGTAGTGTTGAAGAAGGAGATGTCCTCCTTTCAATCCTAATGAATTTGGACATTTTTGCATGCATCTAATTAAATCTCCAATAATGCACATCAGATAGCTACTGTAGCTACAGTAGCTTGATCAGGCGCGGAATCTTTTTCACTTACAGTTACTGTACAGAGGCGTAGCTAGCCCATTTTGCGAGTGTACGCCCGTATGATTTCCCGGTTTTATCAAAATTAACAAAACGATGGTTCCATAAAATAGGAAGATCCCGGGTGTTCAGAAGATAGGGGACACACTAAACACTCTTAATTCAATGAAGGAAATATGTATTGTTTGATCATTTTGACATTGCTTTTTAAAGGGATTGAATTAACTGTACTAACAGATAATATTCGGGAAACAAAATAGACAGATTCTATATAATCATGCCATCGGCGATCGAAGCCGTCTATCAAGGCGATTTTATTCTTTGGGCTACCTAAAACTGTATGTATGAGGCTCATTGTTTTAAGCTTTTGTGGTCATTCTCCATGAAATATTATTATTTTTCCTTTGTTTTTATCTAGCTCACAAGATGATTAACAATAAAAGAACAGTTACACGACCGTCTCAACTCCATTTCGGATCTTAACAATCTGTACGTGATTCTATAGAATAAATTCTATCTTTCTGTTTTTTTGCATTTGCGAACATGTCAATAACAGTATCAATGTTTATATCCTGTTCCCTATGGATATATGTTCTTGCCGGGGCCGCCATTGAAGAATACACAACTACAATGTCAACTCAACTGAAACGAAATAAAATCCTCTAATTATCAGTAGCTAACTGATTCAAAACAAAGAAAATGAAATAATCGAGAACTTTTTTATTTATTAACACGAGTCTTCATAGATCTCCTATCGATTTCTATCTCTTGGTAAAATATTTATTTTCCATCATAATTAATCAGGTAAATTTTATTTTTCCTTAAAATTTGAGAGTACGCCTGGGCGTACTTGGCGTATACGTAGCTACGCCACTGCTGTAGTAATATTAACTGAGGCCTAGTGTGTTTAAAACGCCCTACAGTGTAAAAAGGGTTGTTTATACGTATTTAAAGTTTAAAACCCCCACTTAGGTCGCAACACAATAGAATGAGTTGAGGTTTATTTGAAAAAATGTCCAGTTGTATGAAAAAGAAAGTACATTCTTTTTCTATTATAAAGAATGGTCATTTGGCACTTTCCAAAACCAGAGTAGCACAAAAGATGATTGACCGTCACATGCAGTAATAATAACTTATGTTAATTATATTTCACTCTTTGAAGTATTTAACCATAGATTTGGCCTGCATTTTATCAGGAAGATCTTTGAACGGTTTCCTTCCTTGGAAGACAAAATCCTTTATTCCAATAGAGTATTCAACGATGTAGCCCATGTACTGACTGACATCCTGCAAACAAATAAAACAAGTTTTACGCATTTGATTACAACATTGCCATTTGCATTCGTTCGACTTTCTTAACTAGCGCACAGGGTACAACATATGTAAGCCTGATTTTATCTGAACTGTTCTGTTTAATATGATCGAGATTAATTAAGAAATACAGACCGAAGGGCAGGTATTATATCGACGACGAACGACGATTGAACACCACAGTGCTAGGCACAAACGTTTTCTCTGTACCCCAAACGACCGAAGGAAGGACGAATTTTGCATGAATCGTCTCTTTTATTTCCTACTTTCGGTTTAGGGTTTGCACTGAAGGAAACACTAAATACAGACCAAATATTGTATCGACGAATAGATACCGGGCGAAATATTGACTTTATTCACAGATTAAAGAAGGCATAAATACAGTCATGTTCAAATTATACGAAATACGAGGGTTGTCCCATAAGTCTTAAAATTTTCATTCTAATTCAAAAAGATTTTAATGGATTTGGCTGAAAATTGGTATGTATCAAGATCAATCTTCAGTATGTGATAGTTTCATAATAAGTGCCATTTTGGTGCAATCTCGAGCCATTGGACTGAACTCGTGCTATTCCAAGGGTGTCAGGTGAGTACTTACCGCAGTTACCATGTGCGTATTGACAGACACCATACCATCATATCCTCTTTCCTTTGCTATTCGAATACTCTCTTCTTCCATAAGGTGAATCAGCGCAACATTGTCTTTTTCAGGGACCGAAACATCAGTCCCAGCTTGCATCGAGCAAACCCATTTCCCATGCCCCGATAGCTTCTCTCTCAAAGGGGCTTCACACTGTTCTAACAGAGCACCGATAGGTTCAAGACTCGGAGGAAAGAAGACATCGCAATCAGAGTCGAGATCAATATTGATCCCAGCAGCCACCAGTCTTCCAGAGCTGGTATTTCTCACTGCTACTGACAGGCGATCCTCTAATACGGTTGACCAGAGGCTCTTGACGTGAAGCATGAAAGCATCTTTATCAGCTGATAGTGCGCATGTCATCGGCTCTTTGGCGCAGAAACATTCGGCCATCATAGGGATTACGCTATCTCTGTCTTCACAGTCATTCAGAGGAAATACTTGATATTTCCGTGAGTCTCCATGGTGATTTAATGTTCCCGTTGATGCTCTGGCGAGTGCTATTATTTCTCCAATATTTATAGCCTTTAGGAAATCTCCGATACTTATCTTTAATCCAGCGTCTTTCATTTTCACTAATGTAGCTAGAGCGTTTATTGAATTCCCGCCAATTTTGAAGAAGTCGTCTGCAAGTGTAATCGATGATGAATTGACACCAATTTCAGATGCCACTATGGAAACTACTTGGCGAGTGAGAGAGTCGTCAAATTGTTCGAGGATACTACTACTCCCCGGGTCGTTTTCAATTTGATCTTTATAATACTTCAGTAGCGCTCTTTGGTCAACCTTCATCGTGTGATTTTGCAATGGTATCTTATCCACTTTGCATATTCTTGGAAGCATGTATGATGGCAGGGCGCCCTGACACAGTTGTTGTACTCGCTCAACAGAAACTGCCTGACCAAGTTTGGGCGCTATGAACGCTACAAGTGTTTGTGCACCGCCTGGAGTAACATAAACTAAAACAACACAACCTTCAATTGTAATATCCTCTAGAATTGTTCTCACGATTTCATTTGTGTTGACCCTATGACCTCTGATTTTAATTTGGGCATCTTTACGTCCTTCATAAAACACATTATCTCCCACGATCCTGCCATAGTCACCGGTTCTATACAATACATCAAACCCAATTTCGTTTGAAAATCTGTTATGGAGAAAGTTGTCAGGGGCTTCATCACTGATATATCCATCTGCAACGTTGGATCCAGTGACAAAAATTTCACCAACTGATCCTTCGGGCAATATGGACATAGCATCATCCAATATGTAGATATCAGTGTTGAAAATTGCTGACCCTATTGATATACTACCATCCATTGTCCCTGCGTCAACATCACCTTTATTGTTGAATATTGCGCATGTGACATCTCCGGTTGTTTCCGAACTTCCGTATAGATTTGCAAGGCTGTGTCCGGTTGGGAAAATATCGAAAAACCCACGCAACACATCTAATGGGAGATTCTCCCCACTGCATATGAACAAATTTGTTTTGTGCAGGCGATTGCTTTCGCCGTTCATTTTTAGATACATCAGTATGCTTCTCAAAAGTGTTGGCACCGCCACTAAGCGAGTGACGCAATGCTCTTCGAGGGCGCTTATCAAGGACTCTGGGTTAACTGTTGTGTCCTTGGAGAGAATAACGATAGGAATCCCGTGGAGTAAACAAGCGAAGGTTTCAGTTATGAAGTCAACAAACAAGAATGATGTCTTTGAACACCCTATGTCTGATTCAGAAAAAGGAATCTCTCGCCATTGCCAAGATAATCTATTGAAGATATTACCATGTTTTAGTTTTACACCTTTGGGCTTGCCAGTAGTCCCTGATGTGTACAGAACACAAGCTATGCAATCGTCGTCATTTTCCAAATCGAGAAATGTTTCTTCGTTTGACAGGTTTTCACGAGAACTTTCGAGAGCAGTAGCAGTTGAAATGGCATCATCGTAATCAACCTGAAGTAATGCGTTATTGCCGATGCGATCTTTAGTAGTTGTTACAACACAAACGGGTCGACTTTCATCGACCATAACTTTCAGCCTCCCCTCAGGGAGTCCATCATCGAGCGGCATGTACGCCAACCCTAATTTCCACACACTCAGAACTGTGACCATCCTTTTTATTCCCGGGGGAATGAGAACACCAACCAAATGAGATTTTTCATGTTTGCAGTTCTTGAATGCTTCATCCAGTTGTTTCAACAAGCCTCTTGCCAAAAGATTAGCGTGTTCATTTAATTCACCAAATGTGATTTTTTGTTCATCGAATATTATAGCATTCTTATCGTAAATCCTCCGTGGCTTTATGGTATCTTCAAAATAATGATGGAGAAGGGGGATTGGAATGTCCACCCTCTCCCCTCGCATTATACTCATCGATTTGGTTCACCCCTAGTGTTCTAAACCTTCAGCCCAGACTGCTCAGATCTCTGAAAAGGAAAACACAACTTAGAAGTTCGCATTTAAAATTAGTGCAATGCAAGCAAGGTACACTATTGTTCTTGAAAGTATATTTATAATTTCCATATTTCAAAATATGTTTTAGCATCCTTATTAACGCATGTTTTGTAATATCGTAATCACTTCTTTACCCTCATTGTGTTCTAGTAGAGATACACGACCCTTGTTCGCCGTCAAAGAAGCTGCAATTCATGCAGTGTATTATTGCGGCTGTGAGCCTATTCAAATAATACCTACAGCCGGATTGAGCCTGGGAACGGAAGTTTCAAGAAAAGCAGAATGATCGATCAAGTCTCGTATTTTCTGATATATTCTCAACAGCAAATTCATGCTTTGATTGATACAGAAATTAGTTTGTTACAACAATGAAAACAGTCAAATAATCCAATATGCCTCTGTCTGAGAGGCTTAATTACTGCAATATAGGCATTCCAGTATCCCAAAATATAATTTTGAAAATATATTTAGATGATTATATAATGTTTTTAGCTCATTTATCTTCCAAAATATTGTATTCTTTAAACCGTGACACTATAATAAAATGTTAAAAGATAATAGTGAGATTTCGCATCATGAAGGAGTCATCTCTTATAAAACGTTGTTCATAAGTGAGTTAATATTTTTCACGTCAATGCATAATTATTACTAGTAAGGAATCATGGTGGTACTTGGTATACCCAGTCCACCTTATAAACAAGGAACTTGGATGAGAAAATAATTCATTCTTGGTGAAAAGAACATTAGATGAAATACATCTGTTTGCAAAACGCTAGATTTCAATATTACAACCTATTACATAGTTGTAACGTATCGCTATACGTATAATCATAAGTTGTACTCACTTATGAGTGAAATCTCTCTTACGAACACCAAAATTCACTTATAATTTTTTTAGTACATTTTGATATCGTTGAACAAACAAGCGCGTCTTGACCAACAATATTGATTATGACTAAGGATTATTGGGGATGTAGATAGAATACTATCTTGATTGAAGATATGTACAACTTTAGCGTTACAATTCTAAGCCGATTATTATCGTCCCCTTGATTCTGAGATTACAATATTAACGTCTTTAGCTGAGATTTCAGCAGATGTATTTGGTATCACATCCTTGATTGATCGACCCCTCTTGACAATCCTACATTCCGCTATCGTAACTTATATTGATTAATGTCCATATTGTATTTGCTATGATATCGTCTACCAGAAAATACTTTTATGATAACCATGCATTTAGGTCATTTAGCTGTGTCAATAAAATCTGTCCATTTAAGATTAGACAGTTTTAATTGTATACTAAGTATTCTGTTTTAACGGTCACCTTATCATAGGAACACACAACATCGGTTGCAGGCGAGGGTCTTTCTATCTATAAATCCCCAAACGATTCATTATTATGGCGGAATACTTATATCAGATCAAAGGACAAATTCACGTATCTCCTTTTTCATAAATGGCAATAAAGACGTATCAGCTGAAAACATATACGAATTGCCATTTGGAATGCGCAACGGGATTTCTGAAATATGCAAAACAACATTCAACAAAATGACAATATATATAAGGGTTATGTACTGGGAGGTTTTGGATATGGGGTTTATCCAGAGGGAGATATGCATATCTACCTGAGGGACCGTAGGGACCGAAGGTAGATGTGCATATCTCACGAGGGATGAACCCCATATCCAAACCGACCGTTCATAACTGCTTTATCCTATACCAAGTAGAGTTTTCAGTGAAATTACCGGAAGCGGGAAGATATGCACCGAAGCGGGAAGATATGCACTGAAGCGGGAGATATGGCGGGAGATATGGAGGTTCTGGATATGGAAACCTCAAAATCAGGATACGGGATATATCTTACCAACTTATCTCCCTAAAACTCAACTTGGCATAGGATAAATGTAATTATTTTATAGATTGATATCGATTATGTAACATATTCTAATGCAAAATATCTATTTCAGTTTTAGTTTGACAAAAACTATATACTCACATAAATGTAGGCCCTTTTGATGTTTGATTGAGACGGCACGATTTCCGAATAACAATCAAATTATGCACTATGCTAAATGCTTGCATCACTCTGCCACATCTTGCAAGTTCTGGCGTCAAATTCTTGTATATCCCAAATCACAAATGATGTGCAGAACTGTGAAAGAATTAAACGACAATTTGATTTCCGATCTGAGTGCTTGAAAAAATCTTCTGCTAGAAAATGCTATCACGTGATCTTAACGCTTGCATTTCATTGGATGATGTGAGTCACGTGATCGTTGATGATCGCTTCTTCTCCTTAATTAATCGTTGAGAATAGCCGTAAATGTCAAGAGATTCTTATAACTCATTAGGTAGCATATGGCGATGAGAGGTAAGCCTAGTAAGACGAATCATACTGATTAAATCACTACTCAATAGAATTTTCCACAGAGCAATGCAATAAATTTTCCAAATGCCAGAGTTCTTAATCTATTTCTCTGATATTGTCTTAGAATTCTCTAGAAATGATGAGTACAATTCTCCATGGCAAATTTTAGATGACGATGATTAGAAAAGTTGTAGTCGATCATTTGGCCAATAAAACGACAAGGTCTATGAACGACAACACTAACTTTTATGTTGGTCTTGACCTATAATGTGACCTATATAAATGTATGACCTTAACAAAAACAACTTCGAGAAGCCTGAAACACTTGGGTGTTGTTTTATCAATTACATGTACATACGTTTCGTTGTCATTCGTCTGATTAGTTTTGTGCCCGTTTTGTGCATTTGCGTTATTTTCAAATACTACCTATGTCTTGATCTAAGATCGCATTTGCTGTCTCTGCTTGCGAATTAAGTTCTTCCTGAGACGTTCTTCTTTATCTATCGATGATTGAATTACGAAATATGGATGTGATATATTGATCTTAACAATCGCTTGGAAGTGTTTTAGAATAACAAACAAGTCTGGAGTTTATCAAAGTGATTGAATTACGAGGAGCAATTAGATGGCGACGAATATAAGGGAAGAAAAATTAAATAAATGCTATTTTTAGTGGAAATGGGGATAACTAGTATCTTTCGATAAAAACAGTCTAAACATGTAAAAACAAAATAAACTGGATCAATTTCTCACAGATCCCACTGCATTCATTACTAACCCTGAACATATCTCTCAACCCTAATCATATCCCTGACTCTACACATTAACCCCTACTTAACCTAAACCCTAACCCTAAAAACAATCGGAATTTCGCTCGGCCACCTCTATTTTATCCTACTAAACCTAAACCCTAACCCTAAAAACAATTTGAATTTCGCTCGGCCACCTATATTTTATGGCATCGGTGCTTTCTCCTATTTGGCACAGCAAAACAACAGTGACGTCTTTCAATAAAATAAAATGGTACGTGACTGACAACCCATATCACCGAGTAGCTAATAAATTTCATAAAAAATACTACACTAAATTTGTTTGAATCAAAACTGTGCTCCAATGATTTTGCCAACAAAATATTTAAGAATGAGCCGGGGAAAGGGAAGCATTGGCATGCTAATATTCCTTCCACTTCTTTCAAAAAGGCTAATAAATTATTTGTATAATTTTGCTTCCAATATTGTCACGCCCTCTATACTTTGCAATTGACAGGTACAAGGGGTGATCAACAAATAACGCAAAAATAAAGCCCTATCTCAGAAACCAATCCCTAAACAATGTAAATAGAACATCCGAAGAACATGTTTCTGTAAATATCTCCTTTTTATACTTTTAACCTTTGTAAATTATTTAATTTAATTTGATGTACTTTTTATGCTCTCCCCAACACGGAGGAAAATAAAGAAACATAAACATATCATCAAACATTCATCAATATTTCCAGAACATTTCAGGTACAATCATTGAAATATGCCAAAATAACAGTTAAGATATAGTGGTATGGGCACCTGAAGCAGATCTTGAATAGAGTGTAAAATGTGGAGGCAACATTTTAATGACTGAAACAATCTTCTTTTGCACTATTGGGATTGAGTCGGGTAAATATAACCACTACCCAGTTCAGATACCCTGGGTGACCTCTTTGTGTATTATCTGCCTTTTAAATGTTTTTTAAATACACCTACATGTTTTCTCTCCAGAAGGATAGAGATGGAGAGGGCGTGGCTTACCACGATGGGTAATACGCCCCAGACAATACTTTTCATACTGGATGATACGCCCCTGACAATAGTTTTCACAATGAATGATACGCCCCTGACAGTACTTTTCACAGTGTACGATACTGTGTACACTGGATGGTACGCTTCTGACATTACTTTTCATACTGAATAATACACCCCTGACAATATTTTTCATACAAGATAATATTCCCCTGACAATAGTTTTCAGACTGGATAATACGCCCCTGACAATATTTTTCATACTTGATGATACGCACCTTTATACAATACCTTTTATACCGGATGATACCCTCCTGGCAATACTTTTCAGACTGGGTGATACGCCCCTGACAATTCCTAACATTCTTCACGATTTTCCAGATTCACAGAGTGGTTGTACCCGAGGATGCAACTCGTGCAATGAAAGGTCGTCAATCTGTGGGGTTCTTTGGTTCACCAGACAACGATTGCATAATACAACCAATCGACCCCAATTGCGGAACATATGAACATCATTTACACAGAACTTTATGAACATAATTTACATTGAGTATCTACGAAAGCAGCTTGCTGGCGTCGACGTTTATTAGAATGAGGCGTACAAATAATACTTTTAGAGGCGCCCCTTTCGAAAATAATCTACTGCTGGCTTTTGTTTTAACCTATGTGATATGATAAGACCGGTTCTCTTGTGTTGAGGCTCAAGAGCACTACTATTTTATAGATAATATTGTCATAACTTATAATTCTTTGGCTAATAATGCTCACAGTCAAATTGATGCGATTGTAATAATATTGTTTATGTGAAATAAAATAACTAGTATAAATAAAAAATGTTTTTCACGCTGTGTCAACTTCCTTTAACGTATTTGGTTACGGATAAACTATGAGTCCTGAGTTTTAGGAGGGATGATAGCCAAGGGCCTTGAGACCCAGTACGGTTTATTAAAGGTAAATGGCCCATGATCTAATTTTAGGAAAATTTGTTTCTTTTGTATTGACTATGGGGTAAGTGTGTTGAGAAGTGAGTGGTAAGGGTGTACTTAGTTAAGCTATGGTGACAGTCAATCGCCTTTTTTGCCACACTGGTTTTGGATAGCTTGCTGTGTCAATTCTTTAAAAACAATAGAAAAGAATGCACTCTTCTTTGCTATAACTGCATATTCTTTAAAATAAACTACAGTCCATCCTATTGTGTTGTTAAACTGTAAAGAAATTGCTAAATACATGTGGCCTACCTATGTGTGAAATGTGTTTTAATGTTGCAGTCCAGGCTCTTCGTTTTTTGTTTGAATCTCTGCAAAAGTTAAGCCATTGTGATTTTATGACTATATTAGTTCTTAAAAATGGCGGTAAATAATAGATATTATTCCATAATAACATGCTTTTCCCGGGAAAATAACAGGGAATAAAATTGATATTCAAAAAATCCCGTATCAGCCAAAATCCCGTATTGGATCCCTATCAGCAAAAAATCCCGTTTCAGATCCCGTATCAGAACTATTCCCTCGGTCTATCGCCATCGGTCAATATGACATTTTTCCCTGGCCAATATCATATTTTCCCTCGGAATAAAATTCATATTCCAACCCTCCCATTAAATAACCTCTATTGATTTGATACTTTTGGGTCACGTGTGAACTTAGACCAATCAGAAATGTGGCAGTGAATTTCAAGGATCGAAAGGTATAGACCAATTTCAGTAATACTGCGCCACCTTTCGACCCACAAATATATTTTATGAGTTTAGCAGCTTAATGGCATTCCAGCATTACAGGTAATTAGATAAAACTATTTTATTTAACAAACGCCAAATTGTACATTGTAAATCTACAGTGTGTATTATACATGTAACTATATCTAATAATAAGCTCGTCTAAAATAATTTATTTCCTATAAACATGATTAGAATTTAATAACATTTACATTATAATCAACAAAATTTAGACTGTGTACAGAATTTTCTGACTCTGCTAGTACCTCTCGTACTTTTTATAAGCAAAACCAGATAAACAGGGTGATTAAAAAGTAAAGAAAATGCTCCACTTTTTATAGCTCAGGAAATGAAATTACTACAGCTTGTAAAATTATATTACTTAAGTACAACAATATATTCCCATGTTTCATATCGTATAGCCACAAAATTATAAAGTTATGGCTGTTGAATAGTGGGTCATTCTACAATCTGTAGCAATTTTCAGCATAAGTGCATTCGTTCTGTATCATTCCAAATATATGATCTCAAAAAACATTTATGGAAAATCAGCATATGAAGTTCAGATTCTTTGGATCGTTTCAATTTTGTGTATGCTAATTCTGACTCTATAGTATCTTAAAACATTGCGTCGAGAAGTCTACAAATGCTCGTGTAATACCCGTTGCTCGACCTGCGGCTTGCGGGTACTACATCCTGCAAACATCATTGTGAACAGGTATGACGGCCCATTGAGTAAAATATTTTCTTAGTATTTTCAATGATCAAATGGACTGCATTGATCAATCAAAGACTGGCCATCCTTAATATTATTACTAGATGCATTTAATTTTCTAATTAGAGTTCTATAATTTCTATAATTCATTCTTTGCCCATATTTCTCATATTGCACATATTCTGTGTCTTGGATTACCAAGGTATGAAGTTGAAAGTCAAACTGGTAGGCGAGTATATCTATTCTGTTACGCAAGGCGCCTTCCGAGTATCAAAATGGACGAACATCCACAGATTTCCTCATGTAGCGAGTACACGTGGGTGCATTGCTGTCTACATCTTTTGATTTTGAGGAGGTTAAATGGGCTTGACACATGTCTATACTACTATACTTTACTATAACAGCTAGAGGGCCCCTGCTAGAGGCTAAATTGCACTAACATCAGCACTTATCGCACGGTACCACATGTCATTTTATTCAGTGCCAGATGAATCTTGGTGACATCTTCTCGCATGGTTTTCGTAACAGTTTGTAGGTCACGTGTGTTGTTGAGGACATCAATGCGCTGGGTATATGGATCAAACCTAACCTCAAACGGTCTTGGAATATTGGCAGCAAACTTCCTGAAATCGACAAATACTACAGCTATTCAAAAAAAATTACAATATTTTGGGATTATTGTCACGTTTATTTTCTAGAAAATCCCCGAAGCGGATACTTTATTTGAAAAAAACTAAGGATTTTTACAATAATGCATTATTTTTTTGTAAATATGATCGCCATATTAATTATTTTGGAGAATTTAAACATTTTCCTCCAATTTTCCCACTTTGAAACAACTTCATCGATAACATATCGTGAATCTTTGTGATTCTCACAATCCAAAACCACATAACCATGGGACATTTTATCGACACTTAAATTTTTTCAATAGGACGTGTGCAAGGTTTCTCATACTCGCCACATCGAGTAGTTAACTCAAACAAGACAGATCCATGAACATTGAGCATTCAATTTTAATTGAGAATACAAATTCAGTCTCATTTCATAAAAGTGTCAAAAGCTCAACAAGGAAATATCGTACAGGGTGAGCAGAAAAAGTAACCCAAACAAATTTTGATAACTCATCCAGCAAGAGTTTAAAGTCATATTTAGCACAATTCAACCTTGTTGACATGCGATACTCACCCGATATGAGCCCCCAAACTTTTATCTTAGAGGCTATTTGAAAGATAACAGTTTAGCGTCGTTCAGCTCATATTTTAAACGAGCTCGTTTCGTTAGATATTTGGAGGTAAAACATGCATGGTATACATCATCTTCTTCAGAAATAATTCTACTAAGCGTCGAAATCAAAATTACCAGCACAGTATACAATAGACACAAGTATAATGGTTCCCTTTGACACTAACGTGAAATTTCAAATCTCCCGTTATTACCAGCACAGTATATAATATACACAAGTATAATGATTCCCCTTGACACTAACGTGAAATCTCAAATTTCCCGTTACTTCCAGCACAGTATACAATAGACACAAGTATAATGATTCCCTTTGACACTAACGTGCAATTTCAAAGTTCCCGTTCTAAACAAGAAACCCCGAAGCTGAACGGGTATCTGAAGTAGAGCGCATTTAAAATTATGCGCGCTCAACACATTCCTGTATTGGTTCATATACTTTTCGTTCACGGTTACGTTGTAAAATACATTACAAGCTTAAACTCTCTAATATCTACACTAACAACTCTAAAAGCATCAGAGAGTTTAAACAATATATTAGAAGGAAAATGAGAGCCATTACACAAGGTGTCTGTGAGTGTGTAGTCAGAACAACTTCACCTGATGCGTTCAAGTTTGCCTTCAGAGACGAGACTTGCATTTTGAGCATGTTTTGTAGAATGACCATAAAATGAATCTTGTAAGAATGAAGGAACATAGAACAAGATTTAATTGTGCCAAGTATGACATAATCTCATGCTGAATGACAGAGGTATTAATATTTGTTTGGGTTACCTTTTTTGGTTTAGCCTTCACAGCTACAGGAAGAAAGTGTTTAAGACAGTAATGGGGCATTGACACGGTGTAATTTTAATTGCTTCGTACCTCATACGTTCTTTCATATCTTCAAACGATTCAGCTACAAAGTATATAGGTTGGTAGTCTTGGTCCTGATAAGACTGGACAGCAGTTGTCTCAGCTACAAAGGGACGATGTTCGGGGACATCTGAGAGAGCATGCATCAGTTCACCGAACGACGACAAAAGACCCGCTCCTATCGCTAGAACTTGCCCATCTTCATTGCAAAGTCCAAATTCCACAGTAAACCAATAGAGCTGAAAATTGGGTCAAACGAAGGTTCAATTATTGTAATACGTCCCCGGACTCTACCAGCTAAAAAACTAAGTGAAATAAGATTATGACACAAGGGGGGGGGGGGGGGTGTTGAAAATATTGGGGCGACTGGAATACTGAGCGAAACAAATCCCTTCAAACAAAAACCGCAGTACTCACTGTGGCCAACTTCTCGATATCATCGTCCGCTGCACCCAAAGAAGCTAGTCCAATGTCCTGGGAGAACTGAGCGAATTCTGCGTCAGCTAACATAGGAACATGACCCAGCAACTCGTGCACACAATCCCTATAAAACATGAATACATTCAAGTCTCATTATCTAATTTTTTCGACCTGGACACCGTTTTGAATGTGTTTTTAAAGATAAAGAAATAAATGCAAAATATACAAACAATCTATCTAAGTCGGAGTTCTTTGGTGTATTTACTGAATACCATTCACAAGCACGTCTATTCAAATTTACAGTGTGACGGAATAAGATACTAGATACGTATGAACCTTGTTATTAAATACGTACGGTTCAGGAGAGTGGTCAGGTTCCGACCCATGACGTACGTACTGCGTACATTGGAACACTCGAAACGCTAGACTAGCAAGAAAGTCGCGTGCAGACAAAAGACCAGCTACGGGACGAAGTTGGAACCCAGATTTTTCTAAACAAAATTGATAAACAAACTAAGTACGAATTTTTCTTTTGTTCCTGACAACTGTAAAGGAACATTCTAGAACAACGATTATTTATTCCTTACAATGGTTTTGGATTCTGGCGTTGAATGTTTATAAGCAAGAAATTACTTTTAGTTAAATGTTTACACATGGAGAAGTCGAGCTGCATACAAATTGCAGTTTTTCTCCATTCACCTTTAATTATAAGATACATATTCCTTTAATCCATTATTTCCCAATAACTATTGATTATATAGGGTATAGTAGACTCCCGGGGGTAGACCTTAAGACAGAAAAAATGAATTCATCATACTTTTCATAAAGTTGGAGACAGTCTCTAGTTGTGGTATGTTGTTCTCGCTATATCCACATTCCTTCTCTAGAAGTGTAAACACCTTCACATGGCGTTTACTGGCGTGTGTTGGGAACAACTCCTTCAGTTTTCTGTAAACAACGCCCCTAGAATGTGAGAGTGAAAAGTGAGTGACTTTCTGTTATGATATGGTGTTCAAGCAATATTAAGTAATGACAGAATTATTGTAAATTCTCATTTACATAGTTTATATAGTTTTATATGTCTCTGATCTAACATAGAGGTTCTTAGGATAAAGAATAGGAATTGGTGCAGGACGCCTGTCCGGATGCCTGGCATATTTTTGTACTTACCACGTACGGATATCCTCCTCGGTGTACTCTACCTCTGGAATAGTCTGACCCCTAAAAAAGTGAATCTCATATAACATGGACAAGAATTTTTTAGTTGGCTTGGCTCAATAGATTAGGTAGCAACAGAAAATGATAAATTGTTTCATTTTAAAGAATGGACATTTACAAAAGAACATGTATATTTGTATATTGTTTTTAAATGATGGAACTATCAATAACTGTCAATCATTTTGTGCCACACTGGTAAGAGAGAGAAATGATGTCACACCCGGGAATTTCGCGTCATAATTATTCCTCCGCTAGAGGCGCTGCGAGCGCGCGGCCATTTTGCCGGTCAATTCGGGTCAAATATTGTCCAACTTTACACACGATTTTCTAGTAGTTGATGATGCCCTTTAACGTATGTAATGATTTTTATATAAAGCTTACATGTATCTGGATTAATAAATTTTTATCCTGTGCAGTTTAAACAATTCGTTTTCTTCCAACTCCATAAAGAATTACATCATATTTTTTTTCGAAAATCAGCGGTAAAACTTGACACTGGTTAGCTATTTTTTCTCTACTTGTAATTTGAATTTTAAAATTCCGCCTCGGCCAAGACACAATTTGTATATTTAGCTCAAACTTGTTTCAAATTTGATAAAGATTCATCCATAAATGAAAAAATGCCACCGGCGCGAAAATGTTGTGTTTTCGTCAAATCTTTGCTGACGATGTAGTTTTTATTTTACGAAGAAATTGTCCCTCCATAGTGAAGCCGTAACTTTACTAATATTGAACCTATCAACTTGAAATAAACAGGATTAAAATAAGCAATTCTTTAGAAACACGATGATATGTATCATGCCTATTTAACAATATATATTATGAAAGAAAATCATAGTTTAAAACACCTATCTGAATAGAAAATTTCATTGCAAACATGAGAAACTGACGGGTTGTACTTATACGTCCGCGCGATGTTTATACACGTTGCATAGGACGTTGCTATGCACAACAGCGCACCAAGCGGAGGAATAATTATGACGCGAAATTCCCGTGTGTGATGTACTCTTCTTTTGTTACAACCGTACATTCTTTAAAATAAAATATAGTTCATTATAGTACGCTTCTTAAGTGGGTTTTAATTTGAAATAATTTCGAAAGGATTGGTATCATATGGAGAACTGAATTCAACTATTCAACGGTATTTTATGTAATGTTGACTGATTGGCAACAATTTAATGCGAAAGTTATTTAGAAATATTTTATATAACTGTTTTTGTTAACATTTTTGTTTTTTCAGTGCAATTGTTTTTGCTCCTTTCTACCAATTCTTGAGAATGAAATAAAATGTCTTTCCGAACCTTGTTGAAACAAAATAGCATATACAACATGTTTTGAGACCTCTCAATATTATAGTTATACAAAGGAATTTTTGGTTGATTTTAAAGAAGTATTAAAAAAATTAAAACAATATCCCCCCAAAATAGATAAAAATCAAGAAAACCTTTTATTTCATTTACAAGATACTTTTTTAAAATCAACCAAAATTTCCTTTGTACAATTACAATATTGAGAGACCTAAACATGTTGTGTTAATGTCGTTTTGTTCCAATGAGGTTCGGAAAGATGTTTCATTTCACTCTGGAAACATGATACCAAGAACAAAACAAGTGCTTGATGTGTTTTCTAAAACAATATAGATGAGAGTATATATATATATATAAGTAAAAATAAGAAGAACTAATAAAATACGTTTGAAAATCTAAACATGTTTCTTTATTCCTCAGTAGATTTTTCAAAAATGAGAACAAGAGGTATACAGGTAAGTATGACGTAATATTAATATAATTAATTAAACGTCATGGAAACCAATAAACAATTTATTTGTTTAGTTTTGGTTTAAGATATATACAGGTAAGTATGACGTAATATAAATATAATCCGCTTATATAGTAACCAATAAACAATTTATTTGTTTATTTTTGGTTTAAAAATATACAGGTAAAAAGGTATATGACGTAATATTAATACAATTAATTATTGTCAGTAGTATTTATCCATCACGTACAATTTAAACATATATTTCAAATTATATTGTTACCATTCAAACGATGACCATTAAATTGACGTTGTGTTAATTTTTTAGATTTTTTATGACTTGTTTAAGAGAAACGTGTGTTCAAAAAGTTCTCCATTTCGATACCACTCCTTTATAAAATACACATGACAAGAAATGATGGAAGCGAAATGTTCCTCTCCAGATTATCACGTTTGGCTTACCATCTGTATTTGAAGGCTATTTCAGCAACCTTGGTTCGTCTAGCTCGGTAAATTGGGTCAGAAAATCCCTTTAATTAAAATAGAAAAGTATTCATCTCGTTTATCAGTTAATGGTAAATAAGCTATTTAGCGATTAAAAACAAAAATGTTAACCTCGCCAAAGGTTTGATTTTTTCCATCTTTAATCTAGTAGTTATTATACTACTCGCCTTTTCCCGGATCACCAGTGAGGAATAATAATGATTACATCCACCATGCATGGTTCCTTTCTATTATTAAAACTTTGCAAAAAATGATCAGTCTTAAATTCTTAATTATCAGCTTCTTATTATCTTGGTGAATTTGGGTGTATACTTACCGGATGATTTGAGTCCAAATCAGGTTCAAACTTAGTGAGTAAATGATGACATTTATCAAGGTCGGAAATGTGCGTGGGGAACCACGGGACTGAAAATAAAATGTGTTGTAGCTTGAAATCACTGATGTTTCATAGAGTGACAATTATATTATCAAAATCAGTTACAATGGTATTTCCATTACAATCTTTAATATTTTAAATAAGTATGGTCTTCCAAATGTGGTTAGGGAACAGATACGCTTTATTCAGTTTATTAGTACATATTAGTCGGAATTTCGTATTTTAAAACGTTCGAGATCGAGAGCGCTTTAAATGCTCTGGGGGGGGGGGAGAGAAGCCCCCAAAAAACCCTCAATGTTTGTTAGCTTCGCACATTCATGGCGTACACTCACAAAACACTCACGCTACCCCACTGTAGACTTACCTGAGTTCGGAATGGTGCTTTCATTCAGTGATATGACGTCATGTAAAGCAGATGACTGCTTCAGAGCCTTGACAATAATAAGTGCAGCTTCTTTTGTTGCTTCGAATAACATCAACACCTCATACAGAGCCCCTGTCTTTTTGGACTGCCTAGATTCAATATGTAAGATAGAACATCGTGCGTGCTGCTGAAAAAGTCGAGACTAAATGAGAAAATGTTCTTGTCGCTAAATCCATTGCATCTACATCTACTGTATATTAGCGAGATTAAAGTCTCCGATAAATCGGGCTACGTATACCGCCGTGTTTACATTAGGGGATTAGAAGAGTTTATTTTTTATTTAGGTATGCAAGCTACGTATATCAATATTAGGCCTTCATTCATGTACTCGTGTGCATGTAATCAGCATGCCCTTCAATATTATGTAAACCAGGCTATTCAAGTACTGTATAATGTACACTATTTATGTGTGTACACAATACAATTCCCTGGGAAACAAAACACAAATACTCTTTATATGTTCAAAATGAGCCATTTGATTGATGCAAACACTAAATAGCTTCATAAATAACATCTACAAAGTATATCTAATAGTAATTTCCAATTTCAATGGTGAAACTTCCCTGGTTACGATTATATGGGAAATCATCATGAGACGAAGATCGTTCGCCTTCCTGGCTTACCTCTGAATCGTGTACCCGGTAATCTCTTTATATAGTTTAGCGAGAGCGGTGCGCCTGCGCAGTTTTAAACTTTGGCGCACACTTTAAGCAATACGTACGCCTTTTAAGAAAATTTACGTGAACGTGAAGAATTCTGGTCCTCTAGGTATTAGTTTTCCCCTTCAGTACTCACTTGCCCGATTGAATATAAAAATACAAGGAAGATAACATAGCCTAATTCTAAAGATCCATGGAAAAAGAAAATGAAAGGGGGACAATAAACCTTAAAGGTCATAACATTTCACGTTAACGTAAACGTTATCTTAAAACGTGTAGTTTAACCTTCCAATAACGGAGCAACCGATACCTTGCGAATCAAGATGCCAGATTATGATGCGCACTTCACGCTTGAATCAATGTTAAAGTTAATTTTGGGCTGTATACGTGCTTGAGTTCACGTAATCGTGACGTTTAATTTCTTCATTTTTAGTTTACCCAATGTGTGGGTGTGTTCACCATTTCGTCTTTCTGACGGAAGCAATCCCAGACTCATTCATTAATACATACCTTTGCATTATAATACCTATCAATTATTACAATATTTTATAAAAGCCCTTGAAAAGTCAATGCTTTTACGAAACCCCAAATCAATGATTTAGTCTATTGGTGTCAAATTGAGAGGTATCCATTACATGATCATATCTATTGAAACGCATTCAGAGTTGAGTAAAAGTTTACCTTTTAAGCATGGTTTGGGGCAATTTGAACTGAATTAATCTGATGGAATTCTTGCAAGAGAATTACTCATAACTATTCAGTTACTTCATGGCTCACGTACCATTGCCCTAACACGAAATCTTACTTATGTAAATATCCACTAATTTCCGTGGTTTTCAATCTTTTACCTGATAATATGCGATCGCTTTAAACTAATTTACTTTAACAATGGAGATCGATATTCATGGCAATTCTAAATGATACTTTAGCTTCTGGTCCCATCAATACAGGTCTAATTAACGCCCCAATCTATTCAGTTCCACAGCAATTTATACGACTTTTTGTTTTCTTGATAGAGCACTTATTTTGAAATAATTTTGACTTAACACTAGACATGATTTTAGCGTGATTTCTTTCTATAGGAATTGTATTAATAACTGTATAGTGGAATTCTTTAGTAGTTTCCATTCAAGTCGTCTAGTCTTAATTTAGCACTATCGTTTCTCGACCATTTTTCTCCATTAACCCAAAGAATAATTACTGTATTTACGATATGAAAATGTGGATTTGATTCATAACTCACCTCGAATATTCGCAGTATACGAGATAGTGAGCCCAAGCCATCTCTTAATGTCAGCAACAGGGTGCACTTTTGTAATTCACGGGTTTTCAAATCTTCATCATCTTCAACACCATTTCGAAATTGAAGTTCCTCAATGATTTCTTCATCTTCTGAAAGCGACGCCCGTCTTTCTCGTTCTTTTTCTTTTTCAACTTTTTCATATTCAGCGTTTGTTAGACGTTCAAATTTGGCGTCTTCGATAAGGCTTCTGTGTTTCCAGGAGCCACCGTGCTATAAAATGATTTAAAATCGAAAAATTACTTTCTGTATGTATTTATCCATACAAAACAATTTACTTTTCTCTCAGGATTCATTTGACATTTCAAATCACATCAATGGTCCTTCATCAGTAATTGAAAATATTTTCAGATTATTAGATTTTAGTGCATCACATCATATGATAAAAAAAACTAAACTAGATAGAAAAAATGAAAAATAGCTTTCTTTTTATTCCAAGATTTAATAACAGTACTCAAATAATGTTTTTACGTAATATCAAATAATGTTTTTTTATTAGAAAATTAACACCATCTTCCTTTTTATTCACAGATCTAATGAAAGTAGTCAAATAATGTTTTTACGTAAAAATTAAAATTACCTTTCTGGTACTCAAATAATGTTTTTACGTAAAAATTAAGATTAGCTTTCTTTTTATTCCAAGACGCTATAACAGTGCTCAAATAATGTTTTTACGTAAAGATTGAGATTAGCTTTCTTTTTATTTTAAGATTTAATAACAGTACTCAATAATGTCTTTACGTGAGCTTTCTTTTTATTTCAAGATTTAAAAATAGTAATCAAATAATGTTTTTACACGAAGCTTTCTTTTTGTTCCAAGATTTAATAACAGTAGTCAAATACTGATGATATTACGAAAAGATTAAGATTAGCTTTCTTTTTATTTCAAGATTTAATAACAATACTCAGATAATGTTTTTACGTAAAAATTAAATTTAGCTTTCTTTTTATTTCAAGATTTAATAACAGTACTCAATAATGTCTTTACGTGAGCTTTCTTTTTATTTCAAGATTTAAAAATAGTGATCAAATAATGTTTTTACACGAAGCTTTCTTTTTGTTCCAAGATTTAATAACAGTAGTCAAATACTGATGATATTACGAAAAGATTAAGATTAGCTTTCTTTTTATTTCAAGATTTAATAACAATACTCAGATAATGTTTTTACGTAAAAATTAAATTTAGCTTTCTTTTTATTTCAAGATTTAATAACAGTACTCAATAATGTCTTTACGTGAGCTTTCTTTTTATTTCAAGATTTAAAAATAGTGATCAAATAATGTTTTTACACGAAGCTTTCTTTTTGTTCCAAGATTTAATAACAGTAGTCAAATACTGATGATATTACGAAAAGATTAAGATTAGCTTTCTTTTTATTTCAAGATTTAATAACAATACTCAGATAATGTTTTTACGTAAAAATTAAATTTAGCTTTCTTTTTATTTCAAGATTTAATAACAGTAGTCAAATACTGATGATATTACGAAAAGATTAAGATTAGCTTTCTTTTTATTTCAAGATTTAATAACAATACTCAGATAATGTTTTTACGTAAAAATTAAATTTAGCTTTCTTTTTGTTCCAAGATTTAATAACAGTAGTCAAATACTGATGATATTACGAAAAGATTAAGATTAGCTTTCTTTTTATTTCAAGATTTAATAACAATACTCAGATAATGTTTTTACGTAAAAATTAAATTTAGCTTTCTTTTTGTTCCAAGATTTAATAACAGTAGTCAAATACTGATGATATTACGAAAAGATTAAGATTAGCTTTCTTTTTATTTCAAGATTTAATAACAATACTCAGATAATGTTTTTACGTAAAAATTAAATTTAGCTTTCTTTTTATTTCAAGATTTAATAACAGTACTCAGATAATGTTTTTACGTAAAAATTAAGGTTATCTTCTTTTCATTCCAAGATTTAATATCAGTGGTCAAATAATTTATTTGAACCGTTCTCAGCTTTCGAGAGTCTTTCATATGACAAGTAAACCATCAAATCTTGACGATGATGATAGAAGTAATTGTGGTTTTTAAGACTGAAGTAAGAATATGAGCCACTTTGATAATTTATTAAATGCACTGTGCATTTTCGATTCACATGTGATTGGTTACTGTACATGTATTTTACGGCTAGTTTACCATACATGATTTATTACAAAATAAAGAAGACGCTTTCTTGATTAGCACCAATTTAGGATAAAAATGATAGGTAATAATAAAAATAGACGATGAAGAAGTCTCTATTGATTTAATGATCCGTTTAATGAGCTCAATTTTCATTTGATTCTAAGACAAAAAATCAGTGTTTCATGAGGTACACATTTAAAAGATGGGTCCTACGCTAAGGGGTTATCATCCCTGTAGCAGGCATATACAGGGTGACCCAATAAATAAGATGAAAAATACTTTAATTTTCTTCACAATGCAACAATCTTGAAAAAATTCAGGGAGGTTGTACCCCAAACCTTTTTACCTTTATTCTGTAAATTTCATGCTTTCCACTTTATTTGATTAAATTTATGGTTGCTATAGTAACCGAAACAGCAAAAAGGCGAGGCAGGTTTATTTGAGCCACAACTTATTTTCAATACATATTTAATCTTTCTGGTAGCTTTATTCACTTTCCAGGTACATATTACTATCACAAATACAATATATAAAACAGCCCCTAATTTCCCATTGTTATGAAACTAAGCTATTCAATATAATATCCATCTTTAGCTACGCATTTCTCATGGCTGGTCACCCATTCTCTGAACATGTTCAAATCCATTCTTGTTCATTTCCTGAAGTCTTGCTAAGACATTTGATCTGAGTTCATCTACTTTTGCAAATTCATTGCCCCTCGTCAAGCCACGCATATAAATAAAAGTCATTGGGTGCCAGGTCAGTGGAATATAGGGGGGGGGGGGTCCACGTAGGGGTAGCCCTAGTGTCCTTATAGTATCGCAAGTGAGCAAAGTTGTGTGTGAGGGGGCATTGTCTCTGTGCAGCAGAAACTTCAATCCTGATGCATACATTTTGATAGATACAACAAAGAAGCATTATGACATCACAGAAGTCACCTAACAACCATATCACCTTGGTAACATGTTGTCCCGGTTGCTATAGCAACCATAACCTTTGCCAATCAAATGGGGAAAACTTGAAATTTACAGAATAAAGGTAAAAAGGTTTGGGTTACAACCTCCCTAAATTTCATCAAGATCGATGCAACATTAAGATTAAGTTAAAGTGATCTTTCATCTTATTTATATTTCAATAGTCGAAATCAAGTACAACTTAAGATTATAGGACCGGGTATTGTTTAACTCTCCATGACTTCTGGAGGAAAAAGATTAAACAAGCAAACAAACAAACAAACATTGTCACCCAAATAAAATAATTAACGAATACTTGATCAATGGATTAAAACTTAACATAGCTCGTGCTGCTGTTTTACTGACAAAATGGTTTTAGATAAATGTTAAGAAAGATTATGAGAGATACTAAACATAAGCAGTAAGGGCGACGATGAAATTGCAACAACGATATTCTTTAAAATTCCGAGCGCATTCAAAAATTAAAAATGGTAAGGTTATTGAAAAGTCAAAAGGCAGAATCTTGTTTCTTCTCAACTTTTATCACCAACTAGGATAACAGGATGATAACTCTGTAAAATAACAGAAATAGATAATAAATAATAGATATCCACATATTGAATCCAAAGTTCAAATTTAATAAATATGTATGAATGAGAGGGACTGATATATATAACCTTGATTTTGAATTAAATGGTCACATTGTAAAGACTTAAAAAAGGTACAAAATAGGCTAGCCTTGAGGTGTTTTCTTAAACAATTTTAGGTTACCTGTCATGTCTAAATATATATTCTAAAGTTCCAACAGTTCTGATTTCATGCCACGATAATCCTTTGATTTTTAAGTTATCAGGCAATAATTTTTTAAAAATTGCCGAACTCCGTCTTTACATTTTAATGAAGGACCACGTAGGTTATTGCAAAACAATTTCTGATCATGAACATGGGTGTATGTTTCAGATCCATTCATTATCTTCAAGAAAAGTATATATAATGATAATTTTTTAGTTAATCGGACTTAAGTGATATTCAAGGGACGATGGACCAATCAACATGCTTTTTCAAAAATGTTGACCTAATAGTCACCAAAAATGCAACCTTTTATTATATTGTTGAATGCATAATTAGAATGTGCTTTGAGACATGTTCGATTTCCTAAAAGGAAAAGTTGATTGCTCCAGGGACATTAAAGATACTGAATTTGGATGACCAAGATGAACTGAAACCAAAGGATAGCATGAGATTTTTCAATGGAGAAATAATATGGGGAACACTTATCTTAAAGCAATTAGGTTTTTCTTTCAAGAACTATTTGATACATCAAAATAAAGAATAGTAATGCATTAAACATTGTAAAAAATGATTGCATTTTTGGTGAAAATGGGGTCAACATCTTTGAAAAGTGTGTTGATGGGTTGATTGCTAGTTAAATATCTCCGAGTTTGTTTGACTTTATTATTACTGTATATAATTTTCTTTGAGATAATGAATTGATCCAAAAGATAAACCCGTCTTCATTGTCAGAAAATAGTCATAATGCAAGATGTAACCTTCTGAAATTGTTTGCGATAACCTACGTGCTCCTTTGCACATATCTCCATCTTTCAAAAACATTCGGTTACTTCTATAAATATCCAGATATCTTAATCACTTTCAATTTAAGATCAACAATTGCGTTCTCAATCTATTCTCTTTAGAGTAAAAAAAACTAATTCAAACTTATTAAAATTCGTTGATATATAGTACCAGAATATAATATTTTATGTTATAGTACAATTTTATCACATTTGCCTTTATACCCTTTCCATCTGCATTTTCCTTAATTTCTTATTGTATACTTTAAAACTGTTATGTATTTTAAAACATATGAATCTGTATTACATTATTTTTGTCTTTACTGGCTATAATTAATATCATATAACTAGTATATATATCGTACCTCTTGACTATAACTCTTTTGGAACGCCAATCGTTTTTTCGCAGCTTCTGCCATTTTCACAATATCCAAAGCAACACTGCTAAATATCAGCTTACAAATAAATAATATGCCTTTGCTTTTGCTCGAACGTTATTTGAATATTATATTCCAGGCAAAAGAGCAAAAATTGTTTCTTTTAAGATCTTGCGTTACGATTCTATGGATTCTTGGTAAGCTATAAAAGTTTAAGTGGCAGTCTGCGCCTGCGCTCTCTTTATACGATGTAAGTAAATTACCGTCTTAAAGGATCATGCTTAAAACACATGTCCAATCAAATACAGGTATGTAAATCAATGGCGCCCTTTTGAAAATTCCCATAATCCTTCGCGCGAGATCAAATGTGGTTACATGATTACCAATTTTATCGCATTTGGTTATTTAGAGTTTGTTTACAAACGATATGGAAATTTGAAAATGGTGAATATATTGGCAAATCCATAGAGATTAATGTTATGATTTCATGTTTGATCAAATCTCTGCAGTACGTGATCGAGACACTTTAAAACAAATAATATTTATTAACTCTAATCGTATGTGCAAATGTCCAAACATCAATAAAACTGTTCAAATAATGGTTCATGGATTATAGAGGAAGAGATTTCCCAGTTCAGAAACTTATTTAATAAACTGGAACTGATAAAGGGGTATTGTAGATTCAGAGAGCTCTGTACATTGCCTCAATGGAGAAAGCTTTATGCATTTTTGTAACAGTATATTTGCTTCATTTTGTATTTGATGTACGATATTAAAGTTATATTTTCACCCTTTGTCCATTTTTCCATACAGTTTTTGAATCATAAAATTCCTACATTGAACAAATGGAAATTCTTAATTGCTATCTAATAGTGTATCGTTTTTAAAATGACATTTAATTAACAGCATTCTCAATTTGCATTTGATCTGATCATAAACTCATCTTATCATAATTAAGCAATTAATAATGATTGTTATGTATGAAGCGATTTTCCTCGACTCATCTGGTTTAGTAATTTGAGATATCACGTGGCGCGTGCCAGATGAAGAGCGCAAGTCACATGGTACCTCAGTTTCGACTCAAAATTACTTAGTTTGTCAAAACAATGAAACAATGATGACGTCTCAGATTGTTGTAAAAAGCACCCTTCGTTTTTTTCTTTCATAAGATGTCGAAGATGGAATAAAGAAGTGAAGTACCAGAATAATTATATTATTTTAATATCTTCAAAATTGCGCCCAAATTAAAGTTTGGCAACAGCCGCCTTTAGTTTGGACCACGAGTTAAAAATTGTGTATGGTTGGAGATTTAATAAATGCATATTTTGTCATCAACGTCTGGCCTGCTGTACATTACGTAATTAAGCAACTAAACGATTCAAAAAACTAATTGAACTAAATAGTAGTAAAAATAAATTCGAAAAGGTTTGAGAAAATCACATGTCAATTTCAAATGTCTGTCATTAAATTATTTTTGGCATTTTTATTTATGATGGCTTTAAGATGAATTTAAATTGAAAAAAACAAAAAATTAAATATCTCTACACTTATATGTACGAAGATAACATCATTTATAATGTTGATAAAATCATTTAATCAGTTAATTGTTTCAAAATATACTTACATCCATTGTGAGTATCACTGCACTGAGAAATAATTTTCAAAATAAATTCGTCGGAACCAGTGGATTCAAACAGCTTCTTCTGCGATCAACCTGAATTATCTGTCCAATTAAATATTCTGTCCTTGGAATTATATGTCCATAGCAATATAGAAACTTATAATATAATATGTATACAAAAGAGAACAGACCCCCTAGTAACACCATTGAAACAATCTCAAAATCAGCAGTTCTGAGCCCATCTTCTTCAACACGATGGACCATACAAGTTAGTAGGGAACAAGAAGAGATAGAACAAAATGAAAATTAAAAAAGCGAAAAGCTAATATTTTAAACTTTTGATAACAATGCTGACCATATATTGCAATATTTTATTTATTTTCCAATGATTTTTTATTCCAATGTCACACACTGATTACTTTATTTTGATAGAAGGGTTATAATAGAATTATTTAAATAATCATTTACATATTTCAACAAAAAGGTCAAAAATCCTATTCCATTGTGGGTTCAAATCTCGAACGGGACATCAATTTTTATTTTATTTCATCTGTGGTTTCCTCAAGTATCTACCATTTTCAAGTGTTCTTAAATGTAAATAAAGTTTTAAAATGGGTCTTTTAGGGTATAATTTCAGACCACACTTTGTCAAATACCATAGAAATACGCATACGATCAATCGGCGAAGTGTTTGTTTTATTTTCTCATTAGGTAATTGACTTCACTTATACAAAATTGTTCGGAAATAGGAATTGTATACAGGGCAATGATCTGGAGGTAGCGTTGATTATGTGAAATCAAAGCATTCACATCAGGGCCTTAGGGCGGAATATGTCAGAAAGGGGCTTACAAAATTGCCGTGACGTTCACTCGATGGCAGTACTGTTTAGCGTTCCACATGGTCACTGATGTTCCATTTCTATTGATCCGAGTTGATCAGTTGCGTACCCTTTCTTCTTGTAAGAGATTTCGCCATCCCTTTCAACAATTATAAAATTGCGTACATTGACATAAAAAGGTTTGGTAATATAATATAACCATATTCATCCAAATCACTAACAATTACAGTAGTCAAATTGAAAAAATAGAGTTTTCAAATTTGTGAAGTGGAATGCTGGTGTATATAAAGTACGTATACATTTTATCCGCTATATATTGAAAAGAAATTGTTAAGAAGGTAGAAGTTGTAAATAAATGAACGTGCCTAAAGAAATACTGTTCTCCCACTAATTTTTGACGCTATTATACTTCGCGTTTTTGCGATTTTGAAATTTCGCGGCTATTAATTTTGCATCCTCCTGAGCAGGTGTCCAGAATCCGTACCTCGACCGAACTTCGACCGTAGTTACCTGAAATCGGTAAAATCGAATCCAGTTTTTACAGGCCTTGGAGTCGCCTTTATTTATTTCTATGGTAACTGTAGAAATGAGCACGCTAAACATAGTCAAATTATACAAAGCTTCCTCGGTGGCTACGTCGGGCGTACTATCGACTTGCGGCTACTCTAGTGTGATAGGTTACAATTGACCTTTGCGAACGCAATTACAGTTGAGACGACCGTAGGATCGACGTAGGGGGCACCAGCGGCCGCCTTTGGTCGGCTTTTGTATTTGTAAAAAACCTACGTCCGCAGCGTCATCATTTAAAAGGCCGTATCGCAATTGTAGTTTTTCCTGTCTCTATTGATCAAAATACGTTAACGCGTTGTACGGCTACCGTAATAAGTTACTGCTAAAGCATCTGACTGTAGAATTCCCACGATGGCCTTACTATTGGCCATAGAAATAATAGACCGTACGGTCGCAGTAGCAAATGTGACTGCATTAGGTTTAATTCCCATAAGACATAAGACATAATATCAGTTACTTCCACAATCTTGGGCGTTAACATCGTTCAGTGTAGAAATTAAAAAGGTGCATGTAGTTTAATAGTTATGGTGCTTGCTTATTCGGTCTAGAACTGTTTTCAAAAACATTGATATTTTCAGAAAAGAAGGTTTACTTAAGTCATTGCATTTAGGACATATAGGGAACCTGTACATAAAAGTCATGAGGAAATCATCCTCCCATTCAATAACCATGATCTATAGCAAAAAAGCTAAGTTAACGTCCCTCACTCTAACCTAACGGAATTTAAATCGCAATCCAAATCATATTTAATTTTGGGTGGTGCCAACACTTACCACCCGCCATCTTGAATGCGAAGGTAACTGCCGTTACATTGCCCGGATACTAAGTAATTACTGATAACGTGACCAATATTAATAATTTTAAAGCCTATAGTATTCGTGATAGATCCCCCTCGGGTAATTTTTAGGGTCCCAAACAGTAGGCCTTTTCAGTGGGCATTACTGGGCCTTTTAATTTTAGGCCAATTTGTCAACTCGGAAAATCAGTGCCCCTAATTTTTTTGGCAACTGAAATAGTCTTGATTTACGTCATTAAATATTCAAAATTCAGTCAAAGTGATGTCATATTTGAAATCTACATGTAAAAGTACATCTAGAAATATGGTTTCGAAAATTGTTTATCAACTTTGAAAATTTAATTTATTTTGAAAATGTGATTTCTAGTTCGGGTTGAATCCCCATAGACCCCATGTTACAAAGTCACAAAAAGTGAAATATCTTTTCTTGTAATCGACAAATATCATTTTCCTTTACTGGACATTTTTTAATTAGCATACATGAGGGTTATATGAAAATTGAACCACCAAAACAGATGTAATTTAAGTTAAAGGGAACTTTCTACCATACCCGCCAGCCGCCATGCTATCTGACCCGAACGAGCCACCTGGTGGTGAAATTGGTAACTACCTACTCGCATCTGCGTTATTACAGTAGTCGGCATGGGAAGTTAACACACTGAAATTTTACATGGTATGGCAAAGGAACATGGGGCAAAGCGGCCATAGTAAGGAACCTTTTTTTGAACGCCTCCAGAATAGATATAGGTACTCAAAAGTACTCGTTAATTAGTTCTAGGACGTAAAATATTATCATGGGCGTTTGACAAATCCGAGTATTCAGTCTAGCATTGTTTGTAGGCATTGAACCCCTGAGTTAGCCTAAACACCAAACAAACTCATTGTGACATCTTTCAACTAGACATAAAACACTATGCTTTCTCGTTTTGACGACATCTATACTTGAACGGTTTACTCTCCATAGTACATACCATTGTATACGAACATGGTAATTTCAATTTTAGAGTCGTGCGTTCTTTTAGCGCATTTTCCCAATTGAGTTGCGCACGCAGCTTGACCTCACAGAGCTTACCGGCAGGACAACAACAACTGGGAAAAGTAAGTACAAATATTTTTTCTTCAAACTAAGTAACAAAGATTTAACATATCTTTAAATTAAACTATTTTGAAAGACGTAGATCTAATCTACCGATTGATATAGGTTTTATTAGGTGATGCCAAAGTTCTATGTGCGAATCAAGTAAGAGAATGTGTGACCCCTTTGTGACGGAATTTTTCCCATAACTTGAGAGGCACCATTTGGGGGCAAATAATAAATTATCAATAAATCAAAAGAAATGCGAAATAAACCCAAATGTGAATAAAGACATTACATTGAGATGTATGTTGAATATGTTGGTTTGGATGTCACAGCGATTGATAGTCTAGATCAATCGTTTACTCCACATGTACCATGATGATATTTCAAAAATCCCCTACTGGGCCTCATATATCCTTTGTCTGGAAATGTAAATATTGTGGGTGTAGTGCCAAAGCCCTAATCATAGGCTTACTTACCCCCACTGACAAAGGAAGCAAATGATATGACACTTGGTGATTTATAAATGAGTCAGAAAATAAACTTTGAATCACTAGAAAAATTCATAAGATGGAGTGTCCTGAAACCAGAGGCATTTGGGTTTAGCTTAGGGTCATGATTGGTGGTGAAATTGAGGTCAACATAGTTTACTGACATAAAAGGGCGGATACCAAAACACTAGGGAATTGTCCTTAAAAAACATACAGAGGTCAAGTTGCGGTCTCTTTAAACTTCAGTTTGACCAGTCCAATATACAACAGATGTGTTGAATTTATTAATGAATTATCAATGAAATAAATATCGGGTGAGTGTTTCCATATTTATATTGAATCATAATTCTGTATAAAATGATAAAATCAATAGATAGTGATCGTACAGTTAGATATATATGGTTTCTATTACAATACAACAATTCTTTGAAAAAATGTTATTCATAGTAATTTATAGATAAGAGGCGTTCATTTGTAAAGCCCACTCAATAACGTAATGTTTACCACAGTATCTATGTCATAGTAAAAGGACAAGGTCACTCGCTGATTATCATATCATATGTGTCATACTTGTTTATTAGTGGAGATTCAGAATGATGGAAATAACAGGAATTATTTTTATGAACATGGAAATACTTCGCATCCTCTAATCAGTAAAACATTGCTTTCCTAACGTCATGCTGGGTTTGAGGATTTTTTAAATTCTTCAGAGGAAGTTTATTTTTTTCTCTAACGTAGTAATCTTTTACAGCAATAACAACTACAGGAATAATACATAATCCTATTTTGGACTTTAGCAGTTCATATAGTTTTTCTTAAAGTTTCTATACTTTGGTGATGGAAGTAAAGTCGTTGGAATTATAGCAGAAGTAAACAAAACAGAGTTGAACTTAAATGCATCAAATCAACTTGACCCCATACCAGTTGTAGGATATATGTGAAGTTAACCTAAATACCTTTCAATAACTAAGGAGGGCAAACAGCTGAAGCATACATCTATATTGTGGAATATTACTTATATTTGGGTAAGTTTGAGATATTTAGGTGTTCCTGAATAAAATATTGATCCCAGTACAAGGATGTATTATATTATAGGGTTGGGATTTATTGGCTTCTAGCCAGGATTATGTTAATGTAATGAGTACAAGCGAGCTCCAGCTCCGTTCACTAGTACATGTTTGATAATGAATACTATTTATGTATATCTGTTTACAGGGGGTACATCATGTTACATACAGGGGTACATGTTGTATATATTCAAATAGTTTGTGGCAATCAATGCATGTACCTGGGCATATGTACATAGTGAAACAAACATGGTTGGATCAGAAGTATTAACTATGGTATGGTGAATGAAATATAGAAAGGGCAGTTTTTATATTTCTGTCGTATATTTTATTACAAAATAAGTGTTAATCAATAAGAATACAAATTGTGTTCAAACTATTTGATCAAGTATACATGTAAGAGACATATGTTTACCAGAGGGAGGTGTTCTCAAAAACAGGTGTTCTTGTCAAACATTTGATCATAAAGCCTGATATCATGGGCCTTGATTACCTGAAATAACACCTTGATCTATTTCAAGTGGCTTCATTTTGTTGGTTATAATTAAATTGATTAACATGTGTGGGGTGTCCACATAGAGAGAGGGCTTATCAATGGCTTAATTATCTCATTTCCTGATTGATAGTTAATGAATTTCTACCTACAGTATTTCATCATCATGTACCTACAACATCAATATTGATTTGACATTATGATCTACTACCCTGCCCCCTCCCTTCTATTTCTCTTCAGTCACATATTGATTTCCTTAAAAAGTGAGCTATTTCTCATTGTGGTTTCAAAGCCTCTGCTATCTCTTAATGTATGTAATTGTTATATAAAGAGTGATACATGTAGATAAATCAGAATAGCCAGGCCCGTAGCCAGGGGGGGGGGGTTCGATGGGTCCCCCCCTGGCCAAAAATTCTTTCTAAATCATGCAGTTTTTCATCATTCTGAGCACTTTATAAGTGATTTTGGCCATTTTTGGAACAAATTTGTCACAAGTGAACCCCCCTGGAATTTTTCAAAAAGTGAACCCCCCTTGGCAAATCCTGGCTACGAGCCTGATAGCTAAATTGATAGTACACTGTGGTGATTGTACTCAGTTGAGAATTTGAAAGGCTAGGATATTTTTACCACTTGTCTGAGTTATAAGTAAAATGGAGGGGGGTGGATGTCACAGCAGACTAGTTTAATGCAATATATTATGGAGATGATAATGCCGATGGGAATATCAGCATCTGAAATTTTCACTTGTGAAAAATATTTTCATACACCTTAGCTTTATATTACCAAGATGTCATTTATTGGCTGTTAGCAAAATTGAAAATGCGACACATTTTGTGTGTTAATACTATGAGCATGTAATTATATGTAAAGATGCGTTAATTATTTAGAGTCTGTCTAGGAGTAGAAACTAGACAAGCCTTAAGCTTATTACACATATTTCATTAAAATCAATCTTTCGACAAAAATATGAACTGGAATATTTGCGTCTTAGATGTAATATTGAAATTGATTATCATTTCAATATCATGTGAAAGAGACAATGTGTTACTGTATGTTTCAATTTAAATGTTTTCACCCAATCCTTAAAAATGAAATCTGTTGGATGACAGTATAACTACTTAGTGATTGTGTCCAATATTCCAATTATCAACAGTCATAGAAAAACGAAGTAAATTTTTGTTATAGTTTGACCCCAACCCCCCTTCCTATCATCTCACAAAATTTTAAAATGTTGATTTATCTCTTGATTATTTGAAACCCCCTTTACTTTTAATTTACCCCCTCTCCCCTAAGGCTCCTAAGGAAACTAAAGTATAACGTTTCATAATCTTGCTGCAAACTTGTATGGTTCTTTAGTCTGTACAGGTGAAGTAAATAGAGGAGGGGGGGGGGGGGTTAAGTGACCTGGTGCATTAAAATTTAGATTGAAATCCTTTGTTTGCTATATCACTTTTACAACTTATATGACATATAAATGGAAATCATAATATTTATTTTTTAATTCACAGTATACTTTAACAGTTTGTTTGTTTGTCCACGGCTTTTCTGAATGTTGCAAGCTAAGTTGTTATCATACCCCCCACTGGTCTATCTTGCAGTGTTAAATCTGATGTAAATAAAAAACATACCCTTGTCTTCCAAATATGGTAGTGAACAAAATAAAAAAGCAGGTTTTGATTTCTTTGATATGTACGCATTTTACCAGGTGCGAACACAGGCTCCAGAATCATCAACTTTCTTCCTGCTTATAAACTGGTTGTAGCAACAACTACTATAACTACTATAACTATATCCAGCGATCTCCCCAGGTGTTTTCTTGAAATATCAGTGTTTCCTGGAGTTTGAGTGACGTCAATATATAAAAAGACAATGCAAGGGTACTTTCTTGAAAAAATAAGGAACATGCCTGTCCTACATTGTCTAGCATTGGATGAACTATTGAAGCAGGTAGCTTAAATGAACATAGCGAGGTTTGATTTAAGAATAGACAAGGTTTTATTGATGGAAAAATTAATATTGGTTCAAGATACTCCAAGAATTAGAAATAGAGGATGTACTGTGCATTATCTTAGCTCAAGATCATACCATACATGATGGTTTGTGATGAAATATTATCCTACAGTACAAGTATTTTCAAAGCTCACACCATGCCATGCCGTCGAGATGCCGGCTGCTCTACGCGTGCATCGCGACCGCTGCACGCCCGCTCTTCGTTTGTGCGCCGAGCGCTCTTCGTGCTCACAGCGACAGCGATTCTACTGCTTAGCTAGCGCTTAGCATGCGCTATACGACCGATGTAGTTATCAGATAGTAATTTATACATGTATGCACTGTACATATGCTTAGCGGTAGAATTCACAGTGAGCACGAAATGAAAGCAAGTTTGTTTAGATTGTAATTGAACTGGATGTTTTTATATCCATTATACTGTATGCGGTCGTAATTAATCATTGGTTCACTAATATGCTCGATACTTTAAATGAATAAATTGGTAGTAAGTTTATCAGTTGAAAAATCCATAATACACACCAAGAACATGTAACTGAATTCAAATTGTATATAATCCACGGTGTTTTCTTTTTTGGAAACACTCCGATAGGCATCGCCATCGGGATAGTTCTGCCGATCGGCTAAGTCATCGGGACGGCATTTCCGTCGGCACAGTGTACATCAATGCATTGTGCAACTTACCTGTACATCGGAGGATCCAAGAAAACACCGATAAACTCATAATAATATTTCTTGAGAGTTAGATTATGTTTTGAGCGGGTAAAAGTTGTGTCCACTATTAAGTTATATTCTTGAAACAATTCAATAAATAAGTATACTTAGAACTAGTTTTTTTCAATAATAACTATTATTGCCGTTTTAAAAATGTAGAAATCCTTTTATAGAGCATTCTTTACCATAATTTATAAAATAATCTTTCAGACGGGCAAATCACAATGAGGACAGATGATAAGTCTGTC